CACGCGCATGCGCGCCAGGATCCGATTCAGGTTTGCCCCCTCCGCCTTTCTTCTTATCATCGTCATCGTCAGGCGGATCTGGAGGGTCATACCCCGTGCCGGTTCCTTCATCATGCTCGTCCTCTCCGTTCTCGTCGCCAGCTTCATCACCGTCATCGTCTCCATGGTTTTCCTGAATCGTTTCAGCGAATAATCTCCACTCATCACGATCAGCTCTGAGACGTTGTTCGGCTTTCTGAGCCTTGAGTACTTCACTTCGCAGATCAGCAATCTTCTCCTCGTACTGTTCCGCGATCTCTTTCTCGATCTGACGCCTCCTTGCCTCATGGATAGAATCGTCATAGGCGACAGGGGGACCAACGAGGTCGTTGCCCTTCGTAGATGCGGTGACACCGTCGATGCCAACAGGTCTTGAGGAGCTGGCCGATGCTGTGGACTTCGATCCCAACATCCCGCGATCCCCCAAGAGTTCGCGTAGCTGTCGATCACGCACGGCTGCCGCATCACTTTTCCCATGAAATCCGCTTGGTATGCCGAACAAAGTGGCTGCACTAGGCGTGGAACGCGCAAGTGCTGGGCTGCTAATACCTGGCACGTAGTGCTCGGGCATTGCATCCGCCACGATTGGCATTGAACTGCGGCCAGTGAAGAAGTTTCCACCGGTGAATGGAATTCCATCCATCACAAGGTTCTTGTCCTTGTCCGATTCCGAGAATGCGAACTTCTCTTTGGCGACTGGACTAACTTGACTTGGGGACCGTATTTCAGGGGATCGTACCTCATCTCCTACGGAAAATGCAGGCATTACTTCCTTTCCTACGTGCTCCCAGCCAGACTCAGTAGTCCTCGAAGACATGGGCATGCTCGAAGGTCGCGTCGCTCCTCCTTGATTGGAGTTTCGCGCTGCCTCCAATTCGCTGCGTGTCCTCGCTTGAAGATCTTCTTGTGCTTTGAGCGTTTTCCTGAGTTCACTCAGCTCGTCGTGCAAGGTAGGCAATGATCGCCTTGCATGATCTTCATTCTGATGAAGTCGTTCCTCTGCTTCTTGCATCCTCTTCACAGCCATTTTGCGGTACTCTTCCTCTTCACCAAGACGTTCGCGAAGCCGAAATCGTTCTTGCTCAATGGCTGCGCTGTTTCCAGCTAGCCCTTGGATCTCGTTCACAGCCCGCAACTCCTGGTTCTTGACCAAGTGGAATCGTTCCTGCATTGCTTGTAAGGCTTGTTCCGAACTTGCTGTGTTTGACCGGAGGACCAAGTTCTCTCTGGCGTGTTCATGAAGTTCATGAGTCAGACGCTCATACTCACGTGCCATAAGCTCACCGTCGCCTTGCGCTCTTGCCTCCAACTGCACAAAGTTGGTGGCTGCCTCCGTGCGGAACACGTGTAGCTGTTGAGCTAACTCCTCGGCAACGGCATGTGCTTGACGTTGTTGAGCAGAGTTCTGTTCATCCATGCGAAACAAAGCTGTTTCATAGTCTCGCTTCATCTCCTGATTGACATTGTTGATGTGCCTCATGGCTAAGCATGCATGGTCACGTTGTCGTTCCAATTCTTCAATGCGAATTCCAGATCCTTCATCTTCTTGTTGCATCTCCTTGATCTTGTCCATCAGGGTCTGGACGATTCCTTCGTATTCTTGCACCTGACTGCGATAGTACATCTGCTGTGCAAGGTTCGATGCTTCGAACTGTTGCGAAATCGTCAGTTCCTGGTAGGCATTCGGACCATCAGCTATTGCAGGCGTAGCCACGGATGACGCATCACCACGCGCAGGAATCGTATCCAGAGTCATGTCCAGATCGTCAGCATCGCGTGGTTGATTGGTAACCATCCGATTCCAAGTCATGGACTTGTCACGCCCACGAGTAGCCGAAGTCCTCGATCGTGCTGAAGAGCTTCTCGAAGATGATGGTCTTGACTTCTTTTCCAAGGTCTTGACTCCTTTGTCCTTGGCCCTGGACGTAGTCCGAGGTGCCTGAAAACCAGACGCTTCGGCCCGTCGTTCTGAAGCCTTGCCCGTCCTCGAACCTGTGGATGTCGGACGCGAAGGCGTAGATGCTCTTGGTAGACTCTTTGCTTTCCCCTTGGGAACTGCCTTTGCAATGGCAAGCGCAGAAGATTGACCTTTGTCATCTTCCGTGGAGCTATCAACGGATTGCACCACTGTGTCATCAGCTGTTGACTCACCAACGGCTGGCGCTGCCACATCGGCACCGAAAGTCATTGTCGTATCTTGGCTTGATCCTGAGTTCATTGTGGTCGTAGTAGATCAAGTAGTCGTTGCTGTAGAAAGGCAGAGCCGCGTACGGCTGATAACCTGCGTGGGGGATTGATCTCGACTTGGTTGCTGCTCTCCCCACCAGAGCTGTAATGAATGTAGGTGTGGCTGGCTAGCACTCTCCACAGACTGGACCCTGTCTCTCCCTCTTACTTCCACACGTGCGATCCTATGCAGGCAGAACCGGCGGCCGTTCCTTTTGCACTCACTGCCGGCGGCGGTTCGTCTGTGCAACGGGATAGCTCTGATTGCTCAGGATAGAAGACACATATAGCACTTAGCTATGGGCATTGACTTGAGCCAAACGTTGCGTTGGCGGTCACATAGAAAGGTAAAGATGAGGGATGCGTAGCATGCCCCCTAGAGTCGAGGGACGCGTAGCGTGCCCCCTTCTCTTGCACTTTACACGGTCTTGCTCACAGCTCTTATAGTGACACCTTAGAACTTGACAAGGCATCGCAGTCCGTTCGCAATGACTAATTCCGTAGTTAGAATAATAAGCACAGTCCTTACAGTAACCATATTGATGAAAGTGCTAAATATTGATAATAGCGAGAATACGAACAATACTAAGAAGATTAAGAGAAATAACGTAGGTGAGGTATGGTCAAGTAACAAGTAGTAGTGGTGAAAATACAAGAAACAAAGCGTAGTAGTAGTAGTAGTAGTAGTAGGAGTAGTAGGAGTAGTAGGAGTAGTAGGAGTAGTAGGAGTAGTAGTAGGAGTAGTAGGAGTAGTAGGAGTAATAGGACTAGTAGTAGCAGTAGTAATTAGTCGTGGTAGTCGTAGTTGTAGTAGTAGTAGTAGTAGTGGTAGTAGTAGCAGTAGTGACCGCGGACCACGACCAGGGAGGAAACCAGGACCTAGACACTAGGCAGCAGGACCAGGGGACCAAGCAACCGTGGGCCGAACCAAGGCTTGGCCAAATCTTTATGAAAAAACAAGGCTTGGCAGAAACCTGGACAAGTGCAAGTTTTGTCCGAACCTTGTTGTTCGGAGCTTCTGTGCCGATGAGCCCTGCTCCTCCACCAAGCCGGTACAATCAAACAGCGGCAAGAATACTGCACATGGATGCGGAGTAGCTAGATTGCAGTGACGTCCTGCGGCTGTAACGGCTGGAGCTGTTTCCTGCTTGATGACAGGGCAACAGCCAGCCGCAAACATCAATCCCCAGAAAGCTCACTGCGCAGCCCATGCCCCCTATCCAACCTTATTTCACAGACAAGCTCTGAGGGGGCGCACACGCGAGGCATACTTCTAACTTCTCATGGCTGATGTGGCCAATGATCTAAAGCATCACAGCTGCAACGACGAAGGAGTATTGGCCATGCAGGTGTCGCGCTGCATGTGGATTCAATCTACGCTCATTGCAACCAACATCCACGTCATCAAAACCTTGGCCAGCGAAGGTTGTCCCGAGCTCCTTCAGGGCCAAGCGGTGGCTCCAACCTCAATGCAAGCCAGTCCCATCACGCGAACGGATCTCAGAACCCTTAGAAAAGGGAGCTGCTCAGGCGACGACATCGAAAACGGCCACGGGCCGAAGCTACAAATGAACTAGAAGATGGAATTGGAAACTGGCGGGTCTTGCCTTATTTAGCACTCGCCACGACATGCCACGACCAGACATCAAAGTACCAAAGCGAGGCACCTGAGCGTGAAATAACCAACTGCATGTCTTCCACTCGGACCCAAACTTGCGGCAAGTACAGTTTCCCTCCATTGCATCAGCAGGATGAGTAAGCACTTGGATGCACTGGCCTGTTGTTCTCTCATGCGGAGCCTCTCGTAGCAGCTCGGCAAGCGATGCCATAAAAGTTGAAAATGTGATATAAATCACATGGCCGCACCATCGGAAGGAACACGTCTTTTGACGATGTCAGATGCCAACGCCGACACGTGTGCGGAAAGAGAGCTGCGCCTGATCTCGAAAGCTCTGCCGTGCCTTAGGCGAGCTCGGCTTTGGACAGGAAGGTGAGGTTCTCCATCATGTCAGGCAGCACAAGCTCATGCCTGTAAGTACCTCGTCCATTTGCAGCACAAGGCGGCACCATGTGCATCTGAGTCTAGTGCAAGCGTTTCCCTCGTAAGACAGTGGAGACACTGAAGCTGAATCGAGGGTGCATAGATGTGCATGGTTAACACGGCCGAAACTTGTAGCCGACTAGAACGGAGATTTACCGACGTGCCTGGATCGATTCTAATGTCTCGGATCTCGCAGCAAGGTGGAGTTGTGGCCCAAAAGGTGGTGCCTTTACCGTCGCTACGCACACGCGTTTATCGTAGCAGAACCACAAGCGGGCTGCTCAGCTTCAACACAAGAATGAGAGTTGCATATCATCATGGCATCGTCAAGCCAACTTGAGAGTAGAGAACCCCGTCAGTGATGGAGGCTCTAAGATCCTCAAGTTGAACGGGATATTTCACACCAAGTTTGCAGAAAGCAGGGTTAAGAAAGCCGCACAAAACGCAATTGGAAGGCAAAGATCTGGAATCCCTTCCTTCCTTGCTTTTTTTCTTCGTCCGTTTCTCCTGCCCTCACAAAACCAGCATAAAGACACCCTTCCGACTACTAGCTTCCAACTTTGTGGCAAACTCTAACTAAAGCAGAGAGGAGACTGTTCGGCATGTGGCCCTGCAGGGAAGTTTTGATTCAAATCCCCAAAGCTATGAGAATCCCACCTAGGACCTAGGCTTGTCTGGACCGGGCAGCTGCGGGTCAAATTTCTCGGTACCGTGCAGACGGTGAAGCTGATGCTGCTTGTTCCAGGTTTCGCACACTTCGAGCAGCCATTCGGGGGGATGATGTACAAGACGGCGCTGGGGTGGAGGGCACCCTGTAGGATACGGTCGACGGAATAGCTTGGAAACCGATCTGGTATGGCTGTATGGGCGTCGTCCACTGTGGGCTCAAGATGGTTGCAGCCGGCAGTTGTGTCCGGTAGACAGGGACGGGAGTGGGAGGACTGACTGCCACAGGGTGCTGCAGCTGAGCACTGTGATTTTCGCTGGCTGCGCCCACGGGCCAGAAAGCTGTCATCTCTCGCCATGGATCATCAGTTGCAGGCGCTGCAGGACGAAAGGTGCGATTGTAGGCATTCCTCATGAGGTTCAGCCGGCTCTGGAACGTACTGAAGCTCCAGAGAGCGACTTCAGTTGGAGCCAGGTTTGCATTTTTCAAGACTCTGATGCACAGACTCGGAGTCCCCAGCTCGTGCAGTGACAGCACCGGCGATAAAGTAAGCAGCTCGTAACTCAAACCATCATGTGGCCTGAGAGCTTTGGAAAAGACTTTGGCATCCTCTATCATGTTCCGTGCCTGCATTGCGCGCTTCAAAAACTCGTCCTTCGATGACGTGCTGGACACCATGTCCTCTTCCAATGCGCGCAGGTATCGTCTGGCCCGTTCCATTTCGAGTGGCGAGCACGCCCGCTCAGCAATGATGCCTTCGAGACAGCATCATGTTCAGGACTGAACTCTTAAACTCACTCGGCACTCCGAGCTTAAGAGCTTAGCACGAGAAGCACCCCGAGCCTCTGATGGCGGAGTTGGTGGACTCGTCGTTTGCACCTCCCAAGATTAGAGGTTAACATTGAAGCCCGTTTGGCCGCTCGCTTCCGAAAGGTGTCACGGACTTGGCGTCCGTTCCCTGGCGGCGGTCGCCGCCAGGCTTGCCACATTCCTTCTACTGTCATGCCAAACTTGTCGGCTGTGTGCTTGCCTCCTTGCCTAGCGATTCAGCAACATGAAGAACTCAGACAACCTTGGCATTTTTTGTAAACTTTTAATTAGTTCCGAACTGAGACGGATGTCCTATCGACAGACTTGGGCTTTCATCATCTAGAACTCGCTTGCTGGAAAAGAAGCCCAAGGACTTGCAGGGTCGCAAGAGTTTTGGGAACCCAAGAGCCTTCCTCTGCACGGCCGCTGAACAGGAGGGCTTGTACCGTAGGATCCGGCTTGGTGAAGACGAAGAACCTGCCCAACAGTGCCGACTAGTCTGCGTTTCTCAACCACCTGATCCGATGCACTGGCAGTTTGGAAATGAGGCTGCAGTAGAATGCAAGGAGCACTTTGCTTTGCAAGCACGGCGGGAAGCGGGCAGAGACTACGAGAGCAATGGCACATCTTCACCTGAAAGACTGGCCGAGCACGACGAAGTCCTGATGAAGCAGCTCTTTAGCTTCGGCGCGAACGAGTCGTGTGCCATTGACCTCGGAGGAAGGCGCCCAGGCTTGCTGCTCGCAACTTGGCGACTGGGTCCACCTACCGCCTGCATGCATCCTTGCAGAATCTTCCGCTTTGATGACATCCGCTGCAAGTCTTGCACGATACAAAACATGTCTCGAGTCCAGGGATGCAAAGCCCTTGAATGCCGCACCCCTCTCGCCAAGTGCAGGCTGTGAGCCTCAATGGCGGCCGAAGGCAGAAGAATAATCCCCAAGGGCTTGAGGAAAAGGTGCCCCGACTCCTGGTAGGAAGTACCGTCGCAGCACTGCACAGGTTGAAGAAGAAGACCGAGAATATCGAGTTGAGTAGGCTAGATGCCATTGCCACGCGATTTGCGCTAGGAGAGTTTGCTATTTGGAACTTGAGAAGAGAGCTACGAAAGCTAGGCCGCACGACTGCAGCAACAACACTGGCAGAGACTGTTTTTGCTGCCAGTGACATGTTCACAACAGCAACAGCACCATCATGCAATTGTAGAGAAGCAACAGCTAAGAATGCGATATCCCCAAATCCGCGCCGTCGCTTTCGCTCGGAGACGCAGGAGGCTAAATAGTTCCATGATGCTACAACCGAGTCCTGGAATGCACATCCCCACTCGTTAAAGAAAGAAAACAGAGTCCACAGGGCAGCGTGGATGCAAGCACCTACGCAGTGCCTTGAAGCTTAAACCTGCGAGATGATAGCCTGATTCTTCTTGACACTGGCCCAATGTGAAGATCCATGTTTGTCGTATCGTGGTGCGTGGTGCTTTCACCAACCTCCTTGCGCGTCGGAGTGTCCCTGCGCCAGCAATAACCGGGCCATCTCCTGGCTGCTTTCCTAATTACTGAGGGATCCGACGGCCACGCAGACGCGCTCGGCCGCGGCCACGTAAGCACAAAGCGCACGTTGCTATGTTGGTGAATCAGACTTAATGAGCCATGATGGACCTCGAGCTGGGGGGGCGGACCAACAGGGGGGGGTGGGGGCACAATCTTGCCGGTACCTTGCAGTGGGGGGGGCCTTAGTGGCTCTATACCAATCATTTGCATGGCGCGGCTCCCCCCTTTAACTATTGATACTATTGTGAACGGACCAGATGAGGTCCTGCACGCAATTTTGACCTAGTTCTCCACGTTCTCCACTACCTAAGTGAATCTTAAGCGACAACTCCTGTAAGCTCCAGAGAGCTTCCTTTCGTGACTGTAGAGAACGGACTCAGATCAATGGTTCGGAGGTTCCTCCTGCATCCTACTTCATGAAAATTGGCAAGCTTGACTTCTTCTTCTGTCAATCCTACGCACGCCGCCGCCGCCGCCGCTGCTGCCTGCGTCCACTGGCCGCCGCGCACAGGCACCGGACGCCGGTGCAAAAACCCCGACGAAGCAATGAGAGACCCGTCGGCAAGCCCAAAGCCCAAGAAAAGGATGTGCAACCTTCTCTGCCCCTCAGAGTCTGTAACTGTACTTGCAATGCTGCTTGCACCCATGCAAAGAAAATATGCACTTCGACTTCTGGCAGCGCTGGGTCGGTCCCATCGCGAAACAAAGCTTTACCGGATCTTCCGTTGACAAGGATGATCTGAAAATGAGTGGGCAAGCAGGTCAGTCAGAGCAAGTTGCGACAACATATCTACACAGGACATTAACAGGTAACGGACCGGTAACGTCGGACAAGCACTTTGGGCGGGAGGCTGCGTCCAAAATCTTGCCAAGTGTTTCTGGAATACTACCCGCACGTAGATGCTTACGAGGGTGCTGCATTGAAACGCCTGTCCTGCCAAATGAGGCATGTCTCTGGACCTCGGCTGCCGGCACGGTCAAAGGCCCGGCTGCAAGCATTGTTGAGTGAAACACGTCGAGAGGCACTGCTGCGACTGGCAGATGAACCCTCCATGAAACCTGTACGGCATCCAAACGATAACAAACATGAGCCAACGACAGTTGGACAAGTCATGCATCCGAGCAGCAAATGCCTGGCGTCTGTGGTAGCTGAAAATCACACCGGGATGAACCTAGGCTCTCCAAGCCAACTGAAATCGCTTGTGTGATCCCCTCTCGGCGGCTGAAGCACATCCCAGGATGTAGCGCCGCCCTGCACAGAAGACTATCACGGAAGCTTGTAGCTGCATGCCTGACACGGCTGGTTTCACTGCCTTCTTCTTCAGCATGAAAGATGAGTCGGCCACTGAAGCTGGGATCTTTGGAATAGATGACCAAGCCTGGCACGACACAAAAGCACAAAAAGGTATGTCAACAGGTCTTCTGCCAAGTGCATTGGAACTCATTCGAGCCGAGATTCTGGGTATCGGTGGCCACCTTTTGCGAAGCTGTGACAACTCGTCGATGCAAAGCACCCGTCAAAAGCAAAGCAGTGGGTTTGGCCAGCTTCAGGAAACTACCTGTAGTGCTGCTTGCAAGCTGGCGGCATGGGACCTCGGCTTCTCGTGACTCACACGTTCTGATGGAACACATGCAGGCAACTCGTGAGTTGATGTTGAAAAACTTAGCCAGCATCAGACAAGGTGTTTGCACAATCCCTCAGTAGCATATGATTCCAAGGCCGCCATAAAGATCAACAGTCAACAGGCCACCCCCTAGTCACTACAACGGCCCACGTGATCCATCTCCTCAGTGAAGCAGTAGCCCATGAGGACTCCAGCTGCCCAGAACCAAGAACCGCTTCGACCTAAATTGCAGAAAAGCCGCTGTCTGATGCGGCGGGTGTTCGCCAGTGGTTCAGCCATGCACCCATTTCTGCAGAGTTCGCGGGCGGCTGCTGGTATCGCATGCTCTCTACTTGGGAAGCACCGCTAGCACCGTCAGGCAGCCTGTGCTCGCTTGTCTCGTGCGGGTCGAAGTGCACTTCGAAGCTCTCGGGGCTAACCGGGGAAGCTCCGTTCGACTGTGTGCCTGGCGTGCCTTGTGAGGGCGTGCCCTGCAGCTCGGCCGCTTCATCCCGAAGCTCGTTCTTCATCGTGGCTCTGGCAAACCTCCATCTCGATATTGCAAGATTCTGCAATGCATCATCCTTCTGCCTTCGCAAGAGATCTGCATTTTTCTGCGCTTCTTCCCATCGAGCTCTGTAGCTCTCCATCATGTTGCGAATGAAGCCAGCTTGAGAATCGAGGTCTTGTGCATTTCTCGGTGTCGCGCTATTCAACTGATCCTTCAGGCTTCGCAGCTCTTCATTCAAGCTTTGGATGAGAGAGTCCTTGTCCACCTTCGCAACACGCTTTGCAGTAACCTTGATACTCTTAACGGTGCTCGCAAAGTTGAGCGTGACATAGCTTTCATCTAGGTTGATCGCTGCAGGGCTCAGCGTCCCCAACAAGCACGTTTTCGAGTTGCCCGTGAGTGCATTGGAGAGCAGCAAGGTGAGCTTGGAGTTTCGGAAACGAGCACGGCTCGAGCCATCGACTTCGTCCGAGTTCCCGCGCTGACGCGCTTGCCGCCCAAGCCCTTGTATGCATTGGGCAAGCCACATTAAGCTTCGATTGATGAACGTGAGCTCCACGAAGTTTTCACCAGTTACTTTCGTAGTCTTCTCGTTCTCTCTCCCGGCCAAATCCACGCAGAAAACCTCAGAGGAGACCACTGTGTGAGCTTCGTGCTTCTCCATGAGAAGCCTGAAAAGTGTATGCCCACGAGAACTTGTGGCATTTCGCATCGTGGCTGCCACGCTTGCCCTCGAAAGCCCGGTTTCCAGCAGCTTTTGAAGGTGCTCCAGAGTCTCAATCTGCACGTCGGTAGCCCCATCAACATAAACCCCTACCTTTGGATGCACATGAATCTCTGGTGCCTTTGCTTTTTCCCTGTCCTCAAGCAGATCCCGAACTTTCTCGTTGTAGACTTCCAGCATCTGCGCCCGGCACTGGACCTGGCCACCTAAGCTACGCAAGGATTCCACCTGTCCGAAGAGGTCCCGTAGGAGCCGTGGCAGCAGACCCTGCTCCGGCTCACTCTTTTTGCCCATGAAAGAGAAGGTCTTTCCACTGCCGGTCTGCCCATAACAGAACAGGCATGTATGATACCCGGAAATGGAATGCTGCACCATTCTGCGCCCTATCATTTCGTAGCACTTCTCCTGCGAAACGTAGTCCGGCTTGGAAGCATCAGTGCTATCCATCGCACAATCGAACGCGAAGTCCTTTTTCTTCTTGTCAGGAAACTCTCCGATCACGGAGATAAGCTTCCCGGAAGCGGTAAGGCATTGCTGTCGCGATTCATAGCCCAAAAAGGGCCGCAGCCTCACGCCAACGAACACTGCCTCGTCCGTCTTATCCATGACGGACAGTTCCAGAGCCTGGAAAATCTCCTATACCATTGCACCATTCAAGGCAAACGATGGAAATGATTGCATGGAAGTGTGCTGCATGGTGCCGCGTGGAAGGCAGTGCATCACAGGTCTGCTAGCTTCAGTCATCGCCGGTACTCTGCTGCTGATGACGGTCTGCAGTCACGCAGACAATTTAACATCTTATCTACGGATAATGTGCTGGCTGTGGTGCTGTCAGCAAGCGACTTTCGAATCAGACTGCGTAGCCAGGAGGGGCTCGAATGAAGGAAAGCCCTTTGTAAACACATCGTCAACATTTGTGGTAACGACAGTGCACTGTACTGTGCGATCGTTTCCGAAATTCAACCACATCGCAGCTGTTTCGCGCACACTCGGTGGTTATGCACCAAGATCCACGTGAATTCTTAATTGCAGGCATCAAGTGCCCATGCGCTCAGGCTGTGAGGCTTTACGACCGAGTGATGTCCCGGGTCAAACACTTTGGCATCGATGTGCCTACTCGAATAATACGTACAACATCGTACAACAACATGCTATAATTTTATTGGCCACCTCGACATTCTGCCTCTGCGAGGTCAGCTAAGAAGCCGTTCCAATTGACATCACAAAACGGACCACGCAGCGGAAACAAGCGGTTACGCACTGACGTCCTGACCGTACAATACACTATGTCATTACGCAGCTAGCTGCGCCCGTCCTTGGACATTTGCCTTCGAGATTTAAAGAAACTTGTGCCGGCAATGCAGAACGGTGAGCGGCTGGATCTACGGAACCGTGAAACAAGCACTCCTACGCAATGGAGCAAACACCTTCCTCTTCGTCGGAGGAGCCATCCCTGTGCCGGACTAGGTCAGTGGCAAAAAACTGTGGGGTCACTGGCATGAGTCGCTAAGTCTGAGAGGCACACTCGCTAGCATCTTCGCCTCAGAATCCGACACATGGCCTCATCACCTCACCTCATCCTCAAACGGCGCCACTTGGTGCCTGTAGCCCTCTCCAGGACTTGAGCTTCATGGACGTCGGCAAGCTTAGGTTTGCACTTCGCCCACGAAACCGGCTCCGCTCGTCATCCTCACCCTGTCATACTCAAGACATGACAATTTACCCTGCCGGGGTACATTGGCCGGCCAGTGTTGACGACATGAACATGCTTGTGTGATCTTGCAGCTGCACGTGCACGTCAACATACATTGCTCTTGTGCTGCCCCTCTCGTGGCGATCGTCCACTGCAAATGCTACCATATCTTGCTGGGCTCTGCGCCTCGCAGGAGCAAGGATGTCTTGGGCCCATGCCGCACCTGAGAAGGCCAGGTCTGGGCTCCACCTACATCGTGCAACATCGCGCAACTGTGCATGTCCTCGCTTATCGCTCAGCCAGAGGACTGCAGGCCACCACAGGAGATGACGTCCTTCCAACGCCGATTTCTTCTCACCTGCCAGTCTGCAACTGCCACAGCGTCTGCCAGGTGTGGCACCAGCTTATGGCGGATTGCCTCCGACCAGATCTGTGTGTGAGCTTCCGTCCACTCGATGATCTCGCCTACAACCACGGAGGTGTCGTCCACCTTCCCACCTCCCAGAGCTCGAAAGAGAAGGCATACACAGAGCATCACGGAGCCGGGCAGCTGGGCCTTTGCCAATAGGAGTGTCGAGGAACTGCCCATTGACGCAGTCGGACTTCGCGTGGGACTCTTTCACGATGCGCTGAGCTGCCTCCAAGGGGCAGACTGAGCAACATTGCTCTGAACTGGGAAGCAGCTACCAGCGAGGATCTGCCGACCAAGGTCTGATCTGCAAACCATCAGCGAGATCGAGAGATGAAGCGGGCATAGTTCGCATGGGTCCAAGATCATCCAGCATTTCTGGGTCTGATCGTAGTTCCGTCATTCATTTACGATCAGAGTTGCTGCTGGGCCGTTGGTTACCTGCTTGGCTCATCTGGGTCATTTATCTGCATCTCTTGGCCGACAACAACCTGCTGTGCTGCACATACGTACATGCACGCATGCATGCATGCATGCTTACGTATATACACAGTGTACATATACATACGCACATACATGCACATAAATATACATGTACATATACATACACATAAATATACATAAGTATACATAAAGGAATATATGTGTATGCATATATGCGCACATACATCCATACATCCATACATACATTCATACAAATCCATATCCATATCCATATATCCATACACATATATACATATACATATACATATATACATACATACATACATACATATACACATACACATACATACATATACATACATATACATACATATACATACATATACATACATGCATATACATACGTACACACATATACATACATACATCATGACATATACATATACATATACATATACATAATCAACCGACTTCCCCAGTCAAGTCCCGCCTAGATTCTGCACCCTTCTCGCAACAGAAATGCTCAGCGTCTCCCGTCTCATCAATCACTGGAAATCGTGCTCAACAAACACCATGAGGAGGTCAAGTGCACGAACTCAGGCTCGGCGAGCTCAGAGAATCGTTGCCTGGCTCAGGTATTGTGCTGGCATCGGCGAGAAGTGGTTGGCCGTCGGTGCTGGGAGGATCTCGTTGCAGATCTCGCAGGGCAAGGCAGGCCAGAGAGACAGAGACAGAATGAGTAGAGCAGATTGTGTGTCACATGCGTGCCCTTTCCCCGCCCCTCCCACCATCTCACACCTCCACGATCTCATCCAAGAAGAGGTTGTCAAAGACCTGGGCGCAGGTGCTCGGCTCTTCGCTCACGCTGCACAGCATGATTATTGGATTAGCAGATGTCATGAATCAAACATGCTCTAGAAACTCTGCCAGCTTTATCGCCCCTGGGCTTGTGCTGGCCCCGACGAAATTCTGCACCCGGATCATTGAATCTAGCTTAGCGATGCTTTGCACATGTTTGGGCTTCCAGCGATTCTCAATCCGGTCTTTTCTCTACTAGATTGCGGACACTAAAACCGCTCGCATGTTTGTCTGCTATCGATGTCTGCAATCTGCGCTACTTCATGGATTCTCGGATTGCAACATGCGGCGAACTTCCCTGTCGGGACTGGGACCAGGTGGCTCCTTGCTTTTTGTCTCTCCTTCTCTCCTTGCTTCTGCTCTCGAGTTCCTTCAGAGGCAGGCACGCCATCGCTGCCCAGAATGAGCACCTGTTTCGCAACAAAGCCACTCAAAGGCACTCGAATCGCTGTCAGCTGTCGTCAGATGGCCGCTCAGATCCTGGCATCACCTTCATACGCGGAAACGCAGTGCACGGCTGAGCCCTTCTCGATGACCTCCACGACTAAGAACAAATCCGAACAATGGTACCACTGCGTCGGTCGTGCGCTGAGCGAGGTTGTGACTCGAGCGGTGCCGGATCGGAGCTTCCTGCTTGCATTAACAAAGATCTTCACCACACAAAAAACTATGCCTTGCAGAGCAGCTCGTTCAAGAGCATGCTCCAGTAGACCGGGATCAGTAATACATCGTGCAATCAAATTGCGTGCAATATGTACGGGCTGCGAATTGCAAAACAGCGCTGCATCGGCTTGGAAAGCCCAAAGGTTGCTGGTACCGGTGCCAGCATGCAAGCATGACCATTGCCACAATTCAGAGCACTGCGCCGTCTCCATGACCTGTAGTCACGAAGGATGGCAATTACATTTCACCGGACATCGGCTGCTGTGAAACACGAACCTTGCCGCTAGTGACATTGTTAAGCTGTTCATCGACATCGTAACGCATACTTACGACTTCGACCAACCCACGACACAGTTTGTCGCTCAACTCAGATGTCAGCATCAGATATTCTCCAAGGCGCAGTGCTCATGAAAAAGAGCATCCAAGGAGAGGTTGTAGGACTCTGCTTTATCAATGACAGCCTGGCACGTGTCCCCATTTGCAGCAGCCTTACGTGCAATGAAGATCCGCCTTCCACGTCACACGGAGTTCTCCCATCTCAGCTGCGTGCGCACGCCGAACAGCAGCAACCTGAAACCAACTTGCGGTTGAGTCGAGGAAGGTTGGCACTGCAGGTCACATCGCTGACATCGCTGCTGATCGCAACTTGCTACCGTCCGGCCGTCCATGCCCGCTCTTTTCCGGGCAGCCCATCTCCCGTTTTGCATGTCATGTCTCTCTGTCTTCTGCTCCGCACTAGATAGGCGTTCCTACATGCGCCAACTTTGCTCCGCTCAAGCCCCCTGTAAGGTATGTCACAGCTTGTGCACCAATTTTGCTCCGTTCTCGCCCCCGCCTATAGGTATGCGCACTCTGGAAGCCTTTAGTGACACCCCACCTCGGCTTCCAGTTCAAGACGCTGCGACTGTAGCTGGTGAAGCTGTCGCTGCTCCTCGCTTTTTGCCGCTATTCAAGCACTTCTGGTTGTGCACACGTGCAGCAGGTAGCCTCTGACCGCTTTGCTTGCAGCTCTTGGTGCTGCTGCAGAGCTGCTTGTCGCCGGACCTGGCCGGCTAAAAACAGCAGGCACCCAACGGTCATGGTGCCTCATGGTTTACTGTGCCCTACCCATGCCCGAGGCTTCGGTGGTTCAGTACGGCTACATGATGGCACATCGTACGCTTGCGATCACATGCAGATGCAGACTTCGCACTCGCAAGGCTCAAGAAGACACAAAAGCAGCGATGTCCATGCGGCTTCTGCCGCGAATCCAAAGTCGAAAGCAATCCAAAACCAACAACGATCAAAGGCAGATCATCCGACACCCGACCACTGCGAAATCTGGCACCAGAGGTGTGCTCCGAACCGTATTGAACAATAATCTTATGGTAGATTCTTGGCGATGCTGTCTGTGCATCCCTTATGCCACACATGCAGACCTCTTAGCCCTGGTGAGTGCAAAGATGCAGCTCCCGTGCACCTCCAACTGCTCCATGCGTTCAGCATGCACCTCGCAGGACACCCACCGAAGAGAAAGCCACACTTGGAGCTCAGTGTGCCTGCTTGGCTCTCTCGTTGTCCGCCACAACGCTTTTCAAGGACCTCACCACAGTTTCCGAAGTACTCAACCCCTACTATATAATTCCTCATGCGCGCCGACCCGTTCTTGAAAACTTCCGTGCCATCCGCAATAGCAGACCCTCACAATGCTGATGTTGCTTCGTCAGCACATTTGAGCATCGCACTGCTCCAGCTCAGTGCCGTCTTGCTTGGTAGCCTATGCCGCCGGCATCCAGCAACGGTGAGGGAGGAACTGTGATTGCTTTGCTGGAAGCTTTCGTCTTCGTTCTTGCAGGAATGGGACTCTCTTCAGCTGGCGAATTCTGGGGCAGCTATTACAGAGGCACTTCCCCGTCGCAGCTTGATTTCGGAGATGGGGCATGTACAGACCTTTGAAAACGGGCAGGGAGCCACCATCCAAAGCAAAATCGCTGTGATTCCGACAGTCTGGCCAAAGAGGAGAAACACCATGAGCTTTAAAATGCTTGGGATGCCGGACGGCCTCGAGAGACTGCCGCAGGTTTGCTAAGTCTTCTCGCGCGGCAGCAGCACGCTGCTTTGCATTCTCGGCGTTCGCTGCAACACTTCCGACACCTGCAGACGGTAAATGCACAATGTCCCTCACCTTGTGGCTGCCAAACATTAGCAAGGCACTTCCGAATCGCTCTGAGTCCCGGGCGGGTCAGCCTGAGCACAAAGCATGCTTCAATTCAAGGCTAGCGTAGCCCGATAGGCCGTGAGGCACTGGTGGCCAATTTAAGACAAGCGACTCATCCTTGTAGCTCTCAAGATGCCTGAGCAGCCTTCACAAATCGTTGAGCGCGTTGTCTTGCATCAGGCACGTCCGAGCCTGCAGACAACCTGATCTCGCTGAGAATGTGCCCTGCGCTGGTTGGCCTTTTCTTCAAGCACTGCCTCCCAGGCACCAATAGGCTCAGATCAGTTTCTCGGAATGGAGGTGTAGTAACTACCTCTAGGGACCAACGTTGATTTGCGTATGGACCTCATCTGCACAGCTACAAACCGCTGTGGTTGCTTGGTTTGTCCGGCCTTCAGCTGGCACACACCACTCTTCAGCTCTTCGATCTCCTCGCCGGCAAGACATGACAAGACCCTGCCAACGCTGTTGTGACAATTGCCTTCTCCAGGCCCTCGGGGCTCTCAGCAATCTGGCTCTGCAGTGCATTGACCTCCCAGAGACCACGGAGAACGTCCGCCCGATGTGCGCTCCCAAGCGACCCAGGCCTGCTCCCGCAACTGCTCAATGCGCTGTTCTCCTTGACGGACTCGTTCCTCCCAGCGCATCACTTCAAAGCAACACCAAAGGCGATCGGTTCCCAAGCGTGGCCAACCTTCACAGATGCTCGCTTTCTTTCTGCATCCTCCACAACCTTGTCAGCGGTGCACTGCGCACGAAAACGTCGGCGACAAACCCCCGATGATGACGTGCAGCAGCCCCAGTAACTACTGCCCGCACTTCACTGCACTTGCAGTCATCCGAGCGTGGGGCGCGGTCTGCAGAGTTGCGCTGTCGTGTGAGCTTGTCGTTGATGGCCTTTGCCTCCGAGGCCTCCAATTTCCCCCGCTTAACCCTGAGGACAATCAAGGAGGTCCTTCAGTGCCTCGTTCTCGGCAGTCCACATGTCTTGCAGCTCAGCATTGTGACGCTCTTGTGCAGCAGAGAGTTCTGCATCAACCTGCAATCAATCAGAGACATGGTCGGCAGTGCGCATACCGATACCCTTCACAAGCCTTAAGCTGAAACGAAGCACTTCCAAGAGCGAAGGATGCCGGGTCAGCTGCGCTATTTGTGGATGCACCTTTCGTCGTCTACTCCAGCCTTAAGGCCCTTAAGGGCTCCTGGTTCTGGTCGGGTATTGAGCAGAGCTCTGGCCACCGTCGCAACTTCGCAAGGTGTAGGGGACACTACTTGCGACTTGTTGACTGTTCCGTCACATGTATCAAGTTTTGTGCGGGCAATCCACCAACACACAACGAAGCCAAAGTCCTGCGTCCCTCCGTCTGTGCGGTTCTGGCCGGAGCCACGATGTTTGTTGTTATGTGTGGCATGTGTATGTTCATTTGGCATGTGCCTGCGCATCTGTTTTTGCTTTGTTCGTGCTGCGGTGTGGGTTTCGGAACATAACCTGATGTTCGTACATTTCCTGGTTTGCAGCCCATTCTCTTTTGGGTACATGGTTTGGGTTGTGTGTTTATTTTTGGCTTAATTAAAGGCTTCGAAAGCCATGCAATGCCTACGTTATCTCTCAGGACACGAATCTAGATTGCAGCATCAAACAACTTAATTATCATCTGAGTTAGGTGCCAAGCGACAATATGATAGCTTTTCTATGTACCAATCTCAATCAATAGTTGTTCATGTCCTGTTTAAGCACCAACTGAGATCTACTTAGTATGCAGTTCATGGTTGATTGAATGCTCGTTTGGTATCCAGGTAACCTAGTGTTCACGTACTCTAAGAAGTCGTGAACATAAAATCTGTTGGTGCAGCAGGAAAAAACAAGCTTCAATTCGAAACCCCAATCTCCAATCCTTGAACCCTCCTGATTGACGGTGTTGGCGTTGCAAAAGAGGGTTGGCTTTTGGATTTGATACCGGAACTCGTGCAATAGTAAGACGAGACATCATAATCAGAAAGATAATCTGCTTTGATGCTGCATTCTGATGACGGTGCTTTATCATTTACATTCATGGAATCAAGTACCTTTTGAGGTAGCGAAACAAGTTCATGTCACGGTGAGGATCAAGACACTTCTTGCAGTGGTCTGGCCAACATCTCCAGCAGAGTCGATGGTGTTGGAATGAGTTGGCGATTAATATCGATGGTTTGGTAAATAATAGTAAGCGGATTTTTATGCGCAGCGCTTAGTATGATAATTCGTGTTTGCATGGGAGTAAAGGGATTGTCGGCAAGGCTATGATTATTTCTGTTTACATTCCCTGGTGTAAAATCATACGGGGAGTTCTCTAAATTAGGGTGGGGTCCCCAAACAGTACGGCACCATTGCAAAAGGACCGTAAATCGGACACGAATTTGGAGAACTACTCACATTGAAAAGCCTGTTAAGCAAACAACACTCCGTGATTATTTGTAAAAGGGGTTATAGGGAATATCTAGCATGACTATTTGTGGCTGGATTGTTTGGTAGAAGGCAAAAGACTGTAGGCAACGCTTGGTGTGGTTATTCGCGCTTGGATGGTGTGGGTTGCACAGGAGCAAAAGGCTTGTGGGTAGCATGTGGTATGATCATTTGAACTTGGACGGTTTGTTGTGGTAGTTAATGTGGCGGCCCGTTTATTCCAATGAGCCGTATTAGTGCGTTTTGTTTTCCTTATTCGAGCCGGTACCAAAAAACGGCGGCCTAATTAATGCGTTTTTTTGTTTGGTGGGGGATTTTCTGTACTTCTGTTCTACTACTGTCCTACTGCTGTACCACTACTGGACAGTACAAGGATTCAGACGCGGTCGATTGTGGAGGGGAGTGTAGGTTGGAAGCAAAAGTCCTCAAAATGAAGGGATTTTAGTCTTGGTAGTTATCTTGGAGTGATCGGGGCTTTGGTTTCCAGCTTTTGGTGATTCCCAGACCCCGACCGCGGCATTCGCGCAGAACCGCAGACCCTCCACCCAAGCCAGCCCCCGAATCCTGGGACCCCCAATTCCCTTCTAATTTAATCAAAGCCACCCAGACCCTGACGGTCCTCGGGGTCACCGACACCACACTATTCAAGCCAAAAAACTTTTGGTCGTGGGGGGGGGGGGGGGCCTACGATTTGCGCCGCAACATTACAGTAAAAAGATTCTAGACAACACTTAGCATGATTATGTGTGTTTGGGTTGCTTGGGGTAGACGTAAAAAGATTTTGGGCAATATTTCACAGGAGTATTCGTGCTCGAATGGTATCGGTTGCGCGGGAGTAAAGGATGTACAAGCAGTACTTCGTATGTTCATTCCAAACTTGCGTTTGGACAGCTTGGTGTAGTAGTAAAAATATAATAGGCAACCATCGGCTTGATTGTATTTGTTTGGAGGGACTGCTTAGCATGATTAGTCATTTGTGTTTTGATAGTGTGGGCTGCATTCAGTGCTTTGGTTTCTTTCTGTGCTATTTCTGTCTGGACAGTATGTCGTTCTTTCTATACTTTCGTTCATTGGTTCTTCTTTCCTGTCTTCTCTTCCTGTCTTGATTTCTTTTGTTCTTCTTCTTCATCTTCCTTCCTTGGTTCTTGTCTTCTTTCTTGTTCTGTGCTCCTTCATCTGCATCTTTCCCTCCCTCCTCCGAACCCCCAACCAAAACCAAGCAGACAAGATCACCAAAATTGACGAAAACAACAAAAAAACACCCCACGCATTCTGGCATGTTGGCTGTTGCGCGCTGAAGTGCACATGCCATGCACCTGAGTTAAGCCCTGTTCACAGGCCGACCATGCAAGCCTGGTTCAGCTTGTCCACCATTTCCAATCTCGTCGAGTCCAAAGCTTGCACGTCCTGCACATTAGCCACATGCATGAAAGTGTCTGTTACCAGCCCGGTGCACTGCGTCACTGAGCCTCTCCTCCTTCATGCCAGTGATGACTACCACCTTCGCCTTACCAAAAGCACTTCATGGACAGACGATGGTGGGCAGCAACAGCGCCCGCGCTCAACCCCGCTCCTCTTTATACCGGCAGAAGTTGATCATGCCACCTTGGAATGATGGATCGCAGGGTCTTGCTAACTTGCTACCGACCAATCGGTGCATACACCTAACAAACCCGTCAACCGGCCAAATGAGACACGGGCAAATCAACCGAACGCCATCCCCAGGTTTGTGCAGCCACGGGTCTCAGCAGCGCTCGAAACCGCTTCGGCACGGGATCCCAGAAGTCCTTGCGGAAAAGTCTCGGAAACATGCAATGACAGGAGTGTTGAAGAAACCAAGCCGACTTGATGACAGACAGCTTCCGACAACGCATCTGCCTGCATCGTTTGACGAGATTGTCTTAGCCTTCCACGCCCGCCCGTCCCCCCTTCTCCCCTCCCCCCCTCGCCTTCCAAACAAGCTTCCACCCCAGGCCATTTTGTCGTACGTTGCTGAGACAAGACTCCCTTCAAACCTTCTGCTATTATCCCTCGCGTGCCCACAGTTTGATTGAACCTTTCGATCACTTCCTTTACGCCCAGCTTGGCCCCTTCTCCCAGCAACCTGAACCTGCTAATGGTTCATCCCACTCTTTGGGAACCCGACGGCACGAGCTGGGAAAAATCAAGCTTTACTAGGCTGGGAGTACCGATGCCAAGCCGCGAATCAAAGGCAACCGACAGCCGACAAGTTGAGCTACGAACATCATGCGGCCTTAGACCGCGGCGAGGCCTTGAAATTAAAGTCGTCCACCAGATTGATCATTGCAAGCTGCCTGTCGTTTGTGCTTCCACAGTAAGCGAAGAACGACTAAGGAGCACCGTGCCTTGAAAGCTTGAAGATCGTCAGGAAATCCATGGCCTCCCAGGGAAGCGCCATGAGGAGGCTGCAGCCAGACTAATCAGTCGATTTTCCGGCCTCGTCATAGATTTCTGGGTGAGGTGTCACGGCAGGCATCTGTGCCTTCACTTGTTGGGAGTCCTGTTGAGTCCGCAAGTCAAGGCTTCAGCACTTGCCAGTTCGCTGTCGCACTGATCGACAGCTCCGCTCAGGCGGAGCTTCCTTCTCTTCAATGATGTTATCCAAGCTGATGTGAACTCTCACAGTCTCCCACATCAACTCCAGCCCCTACTTAGCCTGCCTTGTGATTGTCAGTGACTGTTTCACGGCATCGCCAGTTTGCAAACCCACTGGAGACGAGAAAAAGAAGGGGATGCGCTTGATGAGGAAGGAGGCTGCTCCGGTAAAGAACGGAAGATCCTTTCGCATTTTCGCTGTTTCGTGTGCGAAGGCCTCGACACTGGCAGCTACGACTTCGTCTGGCCAACCGCAGGCATGGCGCGCACGGCCAGCAGCGTGCCACCGCTGCTCCCACCCTTGCGACCCATCCAAGCCACTCCTTCGAGGAGCTGTAGCCCGCCAAACCGCAATAACCCATAACCGCTACCCTGTCGGATGGTCCCTCTGTGTCTCGAAACGAAGAGTTCTGCACCTCTATTGCATGACTCCCAACTTATCACAGAGCATCATCTTGACCTCGCAGAGTGCTTGCCAAAAGAACGCCCGCCCATTGTGTCTGTGTGTGTGTGCCCATGGCTAGATGTACGTATTATGGTGGAGCGCTTTGATAGGTGCCGGCTTTGGCGGTCCATGTCATAAGCAAACTCTGCAAGAGCGTTGAAGAAAGCCATGGCATTGTCTGCAGAAGGCCTCCGGGTAGCAGCAAATCGAAAAGGCTCACTGTGACACGGACAGGTCCGCAGCTGCCTGTCTATGTTGTCTGCAGCCACGGCTGGATGCACGCCAATCATGTTCAACACCTTACGAGCCCAACATTCTGCATGCGAGTGGTTGCTCCTTTTTGCAGAAGGGCACCCCAGTGATGTCCTTCGGCGCCAGAATCTTGAAAGCGAAGCCCTTCAGCATGTTGTATGTCCTGGGGGTGAAAGCTGTGAAGGGGTCCGACAAAGCTCTACCTACAACCTGCTCCTCCAGTTGGCAAAGCAAGCAGCCGTCCTTCAGTTGAGACCGCCCTTGCTGTTGGAGGTGGTTGCCCAGAACAACTTGAGCCGACAAGCTGCAAGAGAAAGCATTCCGCAGGGCTTGCTTTGCTGCATCAGCAGTCATCAGCACATGCTGAACAAAGTGAGAACATGCCGCAGAGAGATGGTAGCCTCGAGCGCGATGGACTCATCGAACTCCTGATTCGAGCATATGAAAAGAGACATAGCAGGAGTGGCATCGGGCTGTGGCTGTCCATGGCAAGAGCTGTGCGCAACGTCCCGTCCTCGTCGATTCGTTCGTCGACGCGCGCGAGCTGCAGTGGCGTTTGCACGTTGTAGTCGATTCGCTGCATCTCGGTGTGGAAAACTGCCTGAAAGGACTCCGTTGCTGCTCGGCTGCTCTGCTGATGAGATGACGAGCCTCTAGTTCAGACTGTCGCCCGTTCGTCCTTCTCCTGCAGCACGGCACTCGCATGCCAAGAACAAATTTCCGGTACAGCAAGCTGGCCGGTGAGGGCTGGACAGCATCAGCAACTCACAGTCGCCGATCGACAGGACCGCGATCATGGGGTGCAACTGCGCCGAACGCAGTTCATGGATGAATCTAACAAGTGTCGATCACTACCAGCTACCAGAACCTTCCCATGGATCCTGGTGCTGTTGTCGAGCGCTGCTAACAGGACTGTGGTGGACCTCGCATGGACAACGGCAGCAGGCCGCTGCTCTGACAGGAAGATTCGACTGGGTGTCCAACCCATAGCTAGTTGTCTCCTGATACCTCGCTAACATGGCAGAAATTGATTGGTCTCTTGCGGTGGCACATGACTGGCTGTAGACCAGAATGCTGTCCCAGACACGCTTCTTTGAGAAGGGAAATAGGACCTCTGTACCTACCAGGCGGGAGGCAAGCGGCAGCTCACGGTGATTCGATTCTGCTGGGGTCACTGGTCTTGCGGGGCAATGTTCGTGTCGGGCATAAGCTGCAGCATCGCGAGTTCCTCACGTGACTTGACATGGAAAAGGCTCGAACAGCTCTTCTACTTGCCGCCTCACACGTTCGCAACAGCTCGTTTGGCAGCAGCGACGGGTCCATTTGAAACTCCTGCAATGCTAGAAAGGCTGCAATTAGTCGTGTTTGCTGAAACCTGCGAGGCACGTCTTGCTCCTCTAGTTGCGATACTCCGTCACAAACACCCAACAGCATAGGAGAAGTCAGTGTGGCATCGGCATCCTGATATCTGATCGTGAATACTGCTATGTTGGAAACTGGACACTATGGGACAGCGGCCTTGTAGCCCATTCGGACTTTTGCTGGATGCGGCTGCTGGAATGCCCTCGCACTGAAGCACAAGGGCTTGTTCTTGGAGTACCTGCTTCAATAGGTCCAACTGTCCAACAGCATACATCATCTTACATCGATTTACTGCGAAACGACGGGTGAATGTCATTGACCTCAATGGCGCACTCCTCTGTGTAATGCTGCTCCCTTTTTTGAAACTCTCCGAGGATGTCTTTCTGCCTACCATGCGCGGCATTTAGCAATCTGGATAACATGATCTGGTTGCCATCCAACAGGCCAGCAGAACTGCACCGTGCCCACAAGGAATGTCGGCGATCGTTTCATGGACTCCATTTCCTCAAAGCTTTGAGGGCTTCAAGCCTTCCGCGCACAACATGTTTGCATCTGAGCCGAAAAAGGGTTCGCAACATATCCGGATCCACGACCACCATGCAACGCAGAAGAAACTCGGCCCATGTGCTAGACTCTAGACTCTACTCTGGACACAAGCACAAGATATCGGTGCCACTGTTTGAAACGCTCGCAGACCAGACACAGCTCGCAATATCTGCGAATGCCGACTCGTGGGTAGAGTTCTGTTGACTCGCAGTGAATCGCCAGGAGTCAGCTGCTACCCGGAAGTCGGCACGCGCGCCAGAAGCAGCTGGTCCACAAGTATCTGGGCAGTTTTCCGCGACCTGTCCATGACCTGCAAACCACACAACGGCAGCGAGGATGACATAACATGGCATATTCCGACATACATTGGTCGCCTGAGACACCACAATGTTCTTCAGGAAGCGCAGGGTAAATGGGAACTCCTTGCTGAAGCATTTGAGAAATTGTAATCACCAATGTGCACAGGCAAAGGCAAAGGTTACATGCCTTTGACCAACAACAACATCGGCTGCTCGGCCAGGGGCCTTCATCCACATAACCACTGCCCACCTTCTCAGGATGAGTCCTCTCCAGACTCTACAGGCTCACAAGACCAGGTTTTTCTCAGCAGGAGGCACGGCACACACTTCGCACGGCTTCGCAGGGCTTCGCAGACCGGCCTTGGCCATGGACTTGAGCCGGTAGGATCGCATCCGTCACCTGTCGGACCATAGCATCGATCGCTGCTGTCCTTTAAAGCCTGGGGCCTTTTTTCTTGCGCTCCATGTATCTGTCCGTGTGGCAATTTGCGGCCTTTATTTCGCAAGGCCGTTTGTGTGTCGTGGCATGTTCGGGCAGCATTTTTTCACGCCTTCACTGGTCGTGTTTCCGCTATTGTTGTTGTTGTTGTTCTTGTTTCAGTGACTGCAGCTACAGCAAGACCACCGTTTCGATGACATTCGTAGAGCTGCAGCATGGGCTCATCCTTACACACCGCTTCTGACACGGCTAACACCGGCAAAGCAAACCCAAACTCAAACAGCAAGTGGCCGTATTGCGACAGGCATGCGTTTCGCGCCGGTCGGTGCACAATCAGATCATACCTGATCGGTACACGGGTGATCGCCCGTGCACATCGATCTGTCCAAAGTTTGGGGGAGGTCTTTATTCGTGGCATAGCTCGTGTGCATTGCGGCATGTCATTTTGCTCAACGGTCTGATCCGGGAACGTCACATGCAAAGATGCTCGTGCCTGCACTCGCACGTTCTCAGAAAAGGGGACTCCCTCCGAAATGAACTGGAGCGTCAAAACAACCTGCAAGGCTGCAGTCTCCTTCTACGATTCGTCATGCTGAGACTCTTGACAGGAATGTACCGAAAAGGAACACGTTCCGCTTAAGTAAGCCACAGACCTCACGTTCATTTGCTTTGAGGCGGCTGAAGGCTTTACACGTTGCATGAGGAGGCAGAGTAAGAACTGCCCGAACGGCATGGGGAACGTCATCCGGAATCGGCACTTTGTACTTGAAGCCGCGGATGCAGGTGTGCGGCCTCGTCAGGATTGCGAAGGCATGGGGACGAGAAAGTCTGGCGGTGCGTGAGGGCATGCTGAGGATTGCCAAGGCGCTCATGGGATGCTTTGTCCCATTTGGATCCGATAATGTCGAAAGCACCCACGTCTGCTCGGAAAACGCTTTCCAGGAAGGAAGGCCGCAGCAGGATTGCTTGCACCTCCGGCAAGCTCATCGGGAGATTTGCAGAGAAGAGGGGCTTCGAGTACAGATAGTCTTGAAGCTCCACATCGGGAACCTGCGGGCAGGCAGCACCCACGAAATGTCCGACGTTTCATCAAGGACTGCTAGCATCTTGACTCCGCAAGGCTTAGGGCTACCGATGTCTACCAACGTGGTTGTGAATGGTTGTGGAAAGCTCATAAAGACTAAAGCACGACCAGCGAACATCGATCCCACTCCGGTTGCCTGTGATAGATGCAAGTGGCCGGCTTATCTCAGCATCTAAGCATGTTAAGGATTGTCGAAGCATAATATGTTCATCACAGATCCGACACCCAAGTGCCTACGAGATACCCTGCCAAGCTTCATCCAATAGCAGGCTGACCCTGTAATTCTAAAACAGCTCGCCCTCTAGATGGAAAGAGTTTTTTTCCTACTTGGCTTCTGGTGCTGAAAAAATTCAAATCAAGCCAGGGTCGCTGACGTGGCAGCTGCTCAGGGCAGCAACAAGATGTGATCAAAAAGCGGAGTTATGGAACCTGCAAGCTCCTCATCATCATCACCATCATCATCATCGTCATCATTATGGCGGTCCATTGCAATCCAGTACACAGGCATACGACGGAGCTTGATCAGTGATGGCGTTCTTGATCGGCTTCGTGAAGTGCAGGCTGCAGCTCCGGTGTAGGAACATCCGAACAGATGTTGCACCATGGAATGCGATGAAGATGTCAATCGTGAACCTGCGGTGTGCAGGCACAACGCCATGTGGAACAAGGCATGCACTCACTCTTAATACAACCGGGGACGGAAACATCTTCGACCATCTCACAACACACAGGCACACATGCAGGTACATGTAGAAGTTCTGCCCACATGTTTCTACGATCGAGAACACCGACACCGATCAAGCTGTTACGAAATGTACGTCCACAGAGCCATCGCAATACCATGTTTCATTCATCGCGTGCATGGCGCTGTTCCTCCATAGTGAAAGTTATGTGCACATCTCGCAATGAATGAAGCCGGAATGCACTTGACCCGGCCCAAACTGTCCATGCACCAAAGAACTCATCCGGACGAGAGCCGGAAGGCTTTCGCCCTCTTTACGCGTTCTGTAAGCTCCTTCAAACTGACGATGCTCATCCTGTACACCGTCCAGAAGCTTTCAAGAGGGGGAGGGGGAGGAGGGGGACGTGGTGGAATTGATATTGATCAATGGACAAGGCCCCCCCGCAGCACAGAGGCGTAGATCCCTGATATAGCAGAGCAAGACCAAGGGTCTCCTAATATCCAAGAGCAAATCAGTTCAAAACGACTCCCGCAAGCTCCGAAGGACAAGTAGTTTTCGTGATAAAGTCTGCAATGAGAGAAAACATGTCCTCGTCGGGTCCTAAACTGTGACTCCAGGTAACTTCAACATGCATGGCTTCACGTATACGATCGACGCTGTCGAACCTGCTCAGCTTACAATCTTTTGCTCGATACAAGTCGCCGGCCTGCATCGCATCGGCGAGATACTTGCCATGTAGCCCATGCAAGTGCTTGATTGAACTGAGTGATGTCCACGACTCCTGCGGCCATCTGCGACAGCTTCGGAGGATCATCCGTCAGATGCTGTGCCAGATGCTCCTGAGTCTCCCGGTGAGGGCTGGCATCGCGGCTGCGCACCCGCGATGAGACGGCCATGCCCATACCACCTAAAACGACGAGCAAGACCACGATGCCTTGACGAACCTCGAGTAGAATTTATTCGAGATGCCTCTTGAAGCCAGCAATGCTTCAAGCTCGTGGATCCTGGTCAAAAGAGACACCAAGGGGTGAGCACGGTTCGTGGGGGACTTTCACTGAGAGATCACTCCTCGATCTCAGCTTCGCCTCGTTGTTTGCAGCTATCCTGAAAGTATGCACCCCGTGATCCGTTCACTGCACTTGCTGCTTCTTGCCTCTTGTCTGATAGCTTTCAATGTCTGTCGTTACATAAAGCTATAGGCTATACTATAACCTTGAAGAAAGACGCTCAGGTCAGAAAGGAAATGCAGGAGATGTCGCCTCATCTTGCGTTCGACGCAAAGCGCTTGCACTTCGGCACAAGAATGACCTAGGTGCCACCAATTCAGAGACAGGCCCTGCAAGACGGTAACGAATCAACTGCAAGATGGTGTAAGCGCTGAACATACGAGCTTCCTGCAGTAGGTGCAGCGACATCCTTGAGTCAACCAAAATAAAGGATGTGCGCCATCCGAAGTCACATGCTGATTCACTCCAGCCTTGTTCCCATAGCCCTGCCAAGAAGGCGTCACATTGATGACACCACTCTGGACGCCAGAGTGTTTCTACCTGAAAATCGTCAGGATAGCAAGCTGAGCCGGAAGTGGTCTCCTGAGAGACGATGCCTGAAAGCAATGATTTTCGGACTCGGCATCTGCAGTCTCGCCGTCCTCTCACGTTGCAGGAAGCCGCGCAGCCCTAGTCAAAGTGTCTGACACACGACTACTAAAACTGGATATCTAGACCGATGCATCAACTGGCTTGGCGGAAGCCTGGCCAGTCACGGCGCTAACGGAGCCAGATATCGAGCCCGGCGGGTCCAGGCTGCCCCACCTGTCTCACCGCGCTTCAATCGAATCTATTCGTTTGCTGACGTTCAGTAACCACGGCGACTAGGTCGGAACAGCCCGCACATTTGCGCTGCACTTCTTGCTGGTTGCTTTCGAGCATGGTAGGAGATGGTAGGAGTATGCAGGACTGGGCAGGAATTCGGCAGGAGAGCAAGAGTTGCTCTTAGGAGCTCTGCTGCAGTCTTCGGATAGGAGGCTATAGGAACAATGCGTACGTAGGCCGCGTCGAAGACCGACAGAGACGTGCTGCTTTGCAGACCATGCAGATGCCGACTTCACATCTTGTTTATACATCAAGCACCCTTGCCAGGAGTATGTTCAATGTAGTGTAAACTAAACTGCGGCTCTCATGCCACAAGCGCCTCTGCAGCCAATGTTCTTCCGAAGGAGATGCTCCAGGCTTCTCGGCGTCAGAACGCGTTGTCTCCTTTATGCTCGAGGGCCAAGCCGAAGGGCTTCCAACATCTTCCAGGCTTGTTCAGATGCATGGTCTAGAGTCTAGAGAGTCTAGAGAGTCTAGAGAGTATTCTTATGCCAAGGTCCTTGAAGTCGCTTGAAGCGAAGACATCAGCTGTTTCTCGGTACTCGTCAGATGGACCACAACAGCATTTGCACCTCGACAGGCGGACGTAATGGAAACGCACGCTCTCTGACAAGACATGCAAGAATGGAATCTACCACTGGGAAGATGAGGCGTGCACAAGCGATGTCGCGGAAAGCAGGCTATGCAGGCTTTCGGCTTCAGTGCATCTCGCATGGCACAAGAAGGCTCAGGCCGGACATGTCCTGTACACGGGAAAGCCCGTCGTGGCAAGTGGCAAGCCTAGGGCTCCTAGGGTCAGTGACTTCAAGAGATGCCTCTAGGAGACTCTTCTAGTATGAGTTTCCCTCGCACCTTCGACCTGGTGACGATCCAAACCCATGCCAATCCAAACCCATGCCTGAGTTGTCTCAGTGCGATGGCAGCATGATCTCGGTCTGAGCCTACACTTGAGCCGCAACGCGAACGAAACCATTAGATCGCCAGGGGACGCAAGAACGAAACCGAGCTGTCACAAATCTGCTCCTGCGCTCTCATGACTCCTCCAGTCCGGAAGCCGAAACCGAAAACGGTCAACCCTGGATGGGAGTTGGATGCACGCGAGCCACGCAGTCACATGTAAACCCCACCCGCCAAAGGCGCATCGAGCGGCTAGCGGCTAGCTTTGGTAAGAAATCAGTCCATTTTGTTCTCTGCCGACGGTTGGCGTGCTCAGAGCACGGTCTCGGTGTCTCAGCCTGCAGGTCTGACAGTGTTACTGGCGACACGATGGTGCGGTGCCAGGAACTGAGCTCACGTCCTAATGCTTGAAACGGGGAGACCTTCATAGGGCTCAGCAAAGCTTCTACAGTCAATCAACAGGGCCCCTGAGTCGTCCGCCGCCCGAGGGCCACCAAAGGGATCACCACCTCATGGCTTCGGATGCTTCAGTGCTGCTTCAACGACCCGAGAGAGGAAGTGATTGAGTCTTTGGCTGAACACGGGCCCGGCTCCAACACCCTGAAAGGCTGCTCCAAGTCCGGAGCCTCAGCGAATGAGCACGTCAGCAGTTTTCATTCATGACTAACGAAGCTAGAAGACCTGGACTTCCATCTGAAGGGGATGGCCTGGAGCAAGACCTGGCCAGCTTCGGAAAATGATTGAATTCGAGGGTGAATCGTGAGCACAGTCGAGCAGCAACCACCACAAACCGTCACAACTTCGCAAACCAAAAGCGCCCAAAAGAGCTGTCGCGGAGAAGGGGATTGTCGGGACAGCCTGGGAAACCAACCTGCAACATCGAATCGTACGAAGTCTTTGCATCTGGCGGCTAGTCACGACGCGCAGCAGCCAAAAAGCATCCAAGTCGACACAGAATCCCAAAATTCCTGTTCTTCTAGACCTAGAAGCTGAGCCCCAGCAGGTTCGCTCACGAAAAAAAACCCAACGTGCGACGGTTCAAAATCAGAATCGAATCGCAGCGACCCTGAATCTTCAGTGGCTCCGAAAATCCGAGAAGCCGTGTTATACAACTCTGGAAGACCCAGAGCAGCACCTCGCCAGAAACCAAATCATCGCTGCCACTGCCGCCAGCAAACATAGCTCGAAGGCCGACCTCTGCCAGGTAGGGAAGCGGCTCTGAGCTTCAAGTGCGCCTCGTCCACTGCACAGACAGAAGGCCTGCCGTCGTGCTGAGCGCAGTGAACCTGAAGTAGCAGTACCAAGCCCCACAAAGGTGCAGGGCGCGTGCCCTAGCCAGCCGCAGGGTTCCGACCACCCTTGTGCCATAGAAGCGACAGATCTGTAAACCAAGACCATGTCTGCAGGATACTTTTTTTGGGTTTGTCCCCAAACCAGGAGCCTGAATTTGACTGTTGTTTGAAGATTGGTAATTCTGCAGCATCATCCACACCTCGTCATTGGCAGCTATCATCTTTCAACATGTTTCACATGCTGGTTGACCGATGCGCGGCACTCGGGCGGTGCTGGGAAATCCTGGCAAAGATCTGTCAACAGCAAGCGCGACTTCGTATGTAACTCGAGCAGAGACGACCAAAGACCATGAAGAGGCCAGCTGCCAAGGATTGGCACGAATCTGGGTCCGAGCTTCGATTGTGCATGCCGTCACTGATCCATCGGATCTGGGTCTGAAAGAGTTTGCAGAGCATCGCTTACTCGCGGCATGTGCATCGTCGCATATTTGATGCATTCGCTGAGAATCGCATCTTCCCGGGACTCGAAAATTTTGTCGTTGTCTTTTTCTGAGGGCCGAGTGCCGGACAAAAGGACTCGAAAGCAAAGGTGGCAATCAATCAAGTTTTCGCAGAGCACCGCCCTTGAACGAGTACCTAGACCCATTTGCACTAAAGAAAGTGCCCTCTGCCACCTTCTTCGTCGGCTCCACGCGAACTCGGCAGTTGCTCGCCTGTCAAGTCCAATGTCTAGGACTCTTGGGTGGCCCTAAAGCAGATTACAGCGTTTCGCTCCTGGCTCGTCTCCGGGGACCATACCACGAGCTGAACCTGTGGGCACGGATGGCATGGAGATGTCGCTGGGTGATCGAAACACAGAGACACGGGAGATAACTGAGATAAACGGATAACCGGCCTCCTCGGAGACCCCCCACTCGACTGCGCCGTGCCACATGAGACGCAAGTCTACGAATGGCCTCACAGGATACTGCTTCAAGTTTGAATCACTTTCCTCGTGCTCCTCAGGCTGGGGCCCCTTGTGAGATGGCCCGACCTGTCGTCGAGCCACGCGCACCCGGAGACGCTTGGAGATGCTGCCGGTCAGACCAGGCCCACCCGGCCCACCAGGCCTCCACAGAAACGTTTCCCAGCGAGCTAGGGATCTGGTCCAGGTCCGCCTTAATGCGAATGGCAGACATACAAGCAGAGAGAGGGAGACAGGGAGGGAGAATGAGAGGATCGGCCTGGACCGAATGGCCTCCGGTCCACACGATGACCTGAAAAGAAAGTTTGGATTTCTTCTCTGACTGAGAATTTAGGGCTCAAGGCAAAGCTTGCTTTCATGACCTCCGATGAGCAGTACTCGAGAGCCACGGCTTCAAGCGTCATGCGAGCACTGATGCCTTTCGCCCTTGCCCACGATGTTTAACTGCATGGCTACGCAGCCAGGTTGAGCAATTCTTCTGACCTCATCTAGCACGGTAGGACCTCGGGCAGTGCAGGTCAAGCTAAGCAGTGAGCTGTGGATTCTGGCTGGGAAGTGCTCAAAGTCGCGCACACCTCGCCAAGCATTGAGCCCACTGAAAGCCAACCCATTTCTAAGCGTGCAGACCACGTCATAACAAATCACACTGGAGGGTCCTCTCCGCTTTCGAGCAGCTGGCTCTCCTCAGAACTTCAGCTATCTGCAGCTCACTGACACACCAAACGAGGTTTAATCGGGAACCAGGAACTTTGTAATGAACTTGCACAAGTAGAAAGAAAGACAATCCCTTCGAAAAGGTGCGCAAAGCCACGAATTGTCACAGAGCAGATGTTGGAATGGGATCAAACTGGTCGCCTGAACGATCCGGAATTGCGGTGCGAAGGGCCACTCGAGAACAACACCTGGATCAAGCTGGTTCCATCGGCACCGAAGCACCAACTGTGCATACCCGGCGCGCCTCCGCCAACGCTACCGGGTAGGGAGGCTACAAGGCCGAGACGACTTGGAGACAGCCTGCTGCAGCTCAGGCAATAGACATCACTGTACCCGCATCACAACTCACGGCCGGACTATTCGAGCAAATGCAAGTCAGAAACGCATCCTGTCTGGGCATGCATGAGCAAAGCCTCTGCAAGGCTGTCACGGAAGGCTCCCTGGCTGTCAGCACGCAGGCGTCCCCAACAGCCTGCGATCAGCTCTGTTTCAGCTGTAGGCCACAGATGTGCGCAAGTTACAAATAAGCCACGAAGCAAACCTATGCAAACATACGAGCGTTTCAACAAGTCCTTGAAGCTGAAGAACTCCCGCATTGCTGCCTGCTGAGGTTTGCAGGCTTACTTGGCTGTGTTACCAACCGGCCCAGATTGTTCACGGTACAGCCTCGGTTGGGTTGCACTGGAGATGAAAGTTCTGCGCCAGGAATGGGTCGGACCTTGAACAACATCTGCCAAGATTCACGATTGACCATGAGAGCAAATTATGACGTCTGAGCCTCACATGGCGAGGCCCTGACAGGAACTCTTCCGCTTCCGAACTACCCTGCAGGGGCTGCGGGAGTCGTGGCCGAATGCAATGAGCTTCGACTCCTGTCCTAGAGCCGAAGCACCTTCCGCAAGGAGACGGCGCTCTTGCGAGTTCTGATTGCTTGTGGGCTCTGATACACCATATGCTGATTCCAAAGGTTTTGGATGTTGGGATAAAGGGTCATTACACTTGCCTCGCGAAAAGCACGGAACTTGGCTTGCATCGGCGCTGAGTTTGCCTCCGGCACGACGCACAAGAACGAATTCATCATGAAGCTACACTTCGTGGTTGTTCTGCCCAGCCTCATTGGAGACAATCTTCCTTGCAACCAATGCTGGCGATGGCCCGCCCTTTCACGACTGGACTTCGAAGGGCTCGGCAAATTCCACGCACGCTGCGAAAGGATGCAAAAGCGATTCGAGATTTATGTCTGCCTCCGGAGCAGAGCGCACCGTGAGCTGCCGAGCATGGGCAACTGTGACCTGGCAAAGGTGCATCCAAAGCCATGCTCTAGACACCTGCCGCTCATCTTCTGCAGGGTACTTGATGCCATGATGCGTCATGCATAAAGACTGGCAGACGGACCCCATTTGTGCTGCGTTTTGAGTGGGCAGACAGCTTGGCAGCCTGGATGTCGGCGGTCACGATACCATCGCAGTATCGAAGCGTCGCAACTCCTGAAAAAGCCCCCCCCCCCCCCCCACACCGGCTACCAGCTAGGACGGCAGCATAGAGGACGTCGCCTGGCTCCAGTGCCAGCGCCGTGACTCTGGGACCCTCTACTTTGACAGTGCGCGGCTGAAGCGAGTGCCACCCTGTCGCATCCGGTGTGAACCTGAGGACCACAGGCCAACGCGTTGGGCATCTCATGGCTCTTCGATGTCTCAGGAAGCTGCAGATGCCCGCACGTCGAGTCCTCGCCGCAACAGCTGCGGCAGTGCGACTTGACCTGCACTTTCACTTCCCCCTGCAGCTGCACTGTTGCATGCCGGCATCAGGCCCCTACACAACAGCCACCGCAACGCGATGAGCTTGCCGGCTCCTCAAAAAAGGTGAGGAAGGAAGAAGGTGCCAGCAAATAAAGGGGATTGCGCTGGTGCCACGAATCGGATCACACGGCCCGTTGCGAATCGGATCCCGTGCACTGCGAATCGGATATTGGGCCGCATGCGAAATCGCATCATAGGAGGGCATGTATCGGATCACACCAAAGCCCCGAATCAGAGCAGACAGATCAATCATTGGTTTCGCACGGTTTAATTTGACTTTATGCTTCCAGGCTTGGTCAGGGTTTAGGGTTTAGGGGGTTCTGGCAGGTTCTGGCCTCAGGATTTGATTTCGGGGGGGTTCGTTGTCAGGACATAGGGTTGGTTTCTGGCTCAGGCTTCAGAGTTTGGTTTGGGGTTTGGGGTTTGGGGTAAAGGGTTTCGGCCTCGGGGTTTGCCGGGTTGCTTGCGGGAGTTTTTGATTTAGGGCTTTGTTTCCCTGCTTTGGAGTTTCGTTTCGGATTTAGGGATACGGCGTGCGGTTTCCCTGAACTTAAAACCCTAAGGCTTAAACCCTAAATCCAACCCCCTTGGAAGTCTAAACCCTAAAGTGTGAACCGAGAACCCAACATGACTGGCAATGGTGCGTGTGTTCTGATTCGGGGCGATTCGCGGCTTCGTGATCGGATGTGTGCGGGGCAGCACAAACTAGACTCCGGGTCCGGCCGGCGCCTCTCGTGGTGCCTCTTCTAGCATTCGTCTCTTACTATCGGGGGGGGCATGTTACACATTGTTTGGCTTTGGCACTCCTCTGCAATCGCACGGACGCCCCAAGCAAAATCCAACAGCCGCAGCCTCGCAGAACTTCAGCCGATTCAACTGCGTCGTCCAACAAAGTCTGGGAGCGCGACGACTCGTTCGGTTGAACGTCCTGTTCCAATATTGCCTAAATGAGCTTTGCGCATTTTTTCACACAACTGACTGCTCTGGAATTGCATTGCGAGGAAAGTCCTGGTAGGTCCACAGAACCTCTGCAAGGTCCCTCAAGCCAAGCTCGGCGCTGCGTCCGGCCACCTCCGAGGATCCGCAAAGCTGACGTCTGAAAGCTTCGCAAGCTCTGCACGGGTTCAGCAATTCTTAACACCAGTGAGGCCCGACGGCCGACTTGCCGAACCGGACCAATGCCGTATCGGGGACTTCCAGCCATCCACGCGCGATCGTCTGTGACAGTATCCAAGATTACTGTTTTCCAAGGGGGCTTACCACAATTGACGGTGTCGTCGGGACGAGAAGCGATAAGCCAGATTGCGTCTCATCGCCCATCTGATCTACCGTCATCGACCGTGCCTCCGCGAGTTCACGAGCAGAGACCTGGGAGTGCACAGTGCAAGGTGATGGCAGGCCGCACTCTGTCTACGCATGGTCGCTACCTGCAGATCGACTTCTGCTCCAAGTTGTAGTTCTCCTTGTTCCTCTCGCGTACGTAAGTGTTACTTCAAGATCAGATGCTTCTTGATGCGTCCAAACGCCTCGTGCGGTCCATTGTCAAGTCACTGCACTTGCTCCTGCTTCACCGACCATCGTGCGCCGACCATGCGAACCTCGCATGAAAAGACTGGGAGCCACCGGAACGAACGCGAGGCTTCTGATTCCTGCCCTAGAAGATGCCAATGAGGCCAGGGAATGCCAATGATCTCGTATGAAAGGCTTATACTCATCTGGAAGTCTCCACAAGCACACTCGTCGCCTGCAGTGGATGACCAGCTCCAGGGCCAGGACTCCCCAAGAGGCCTCCCGGTCCCAGCATGGAACGACGAGCCAGTCACAAAGGAGCAATGCAGGAGATTCGAATGCACACTTCCTGGCCTGATGACAACACCGCCGCGACCTCGGCTGCGAGCCTCGCAGCAGTGTCCTCAAGGGACCTGCCCGCAGCCCATGCGAGATCACTCCTAGCATACCCGCAACTCCAGCAAGTTGGCCTCGCAAGACGGATGAAGATACGTGCTAACAGCGTATTGGTGCAGGCAAGACTTTGCAGTGACGAGCCTGGATCCGAGCTGGGCGAGTCGCACAGAGAAAGCCTTACAGACGTTGGAGCGGCTGGAAAAAGAAACACAATTTGAAAGCCCCTTTCGAGTCTGGTACAAGGCGTCGCGAGTCCGAGCCACGGGCCAAAGGCGGTCGACCGGCGCTCGCTTTGCCTCCCGGGAAGGCGATCTCTCCATGTATAGCGCCCAGACAACACTGGGCCGAGCCGCCGAGCCTGTGAAGAGCTCTTCGGCATCTAAGTTCAGCCGTGAGCCAGGCCTGGGGACTTGCTAACTTTTGCTGGCCGACTGAGGCCGACAGGACGCGGGGTTATCGCTTTGGGACTCCGGCTGTAGAAGAAGCTGCCCTTGGCCAACCAGCGCCCCTCGAACCACACAGATTTCCGCCACATCCGAAGGCAACCGCCTGCATCTCGCGCACATGCCCATGCCAAAGCCAACGCTGTCCCCGACCTCCCGTCCGGCATCCGCACCGCCGCGCTGACGAGTGTGCATCCCTGAAGGTGACAAGTCGGGGCAGTCGCCTCAAGCTCATCAAGGTCGGACCTCGCTCAATGGTCGCAGGTACAAAGACGTTCCTTTCGAAGAGCGATGAACCTGACACGACTTTGTCAGTTGCACATCTGTTTTCCATGACCGTGGCACGAACCTCTGACATCAATGCTGTATGACTGGAGAAGACGTCCACCTCTTCAGGTGCAACCTTCAAAAGGTCTTCGAGTAAGATCGTGCGACTAGAAGACCCTGCACCTGAAAATTGCTGGGAAGTGCCATTGTCTGCCCATTAGCCTCAGTGATGTGGCTCACTGAAGACAGGCAAGCACAAGCTGCCAAGGGGTACAGATTCGGATAGATTCGGAAGCTTTCAAGTGCTTCACATGTAGCTTTGTTTCGGCTTTTCTTTTCTGCACATGACAAATATCATCAACTTGCTCTTCTTTGAGTGGGTCCATCTGCGATGCTCCTTCTTCGTCTCTGCAGTGGCGCCCTAAAAATCGGCAGAGTCTCATCTCACTTCACGTGGTGGAATATCTCATGCGCGATGCAGTGGTCCTGCAGGCCGTGCGACATCACTGCTATCTCATAGCTGCATGACTCATTAAATACATCCCAAGCCATCCCACAGCCAAAAAGCTAGTTATCTGTTTTGCTATTTACTTCGCTGGTCCAGTCCTGGCACATGGTCAGCTCCTCAAACTGCCCTTTGCAGTCGCCTTTACCATCGGTGCGCATCGAGATGCGTTGCACGCAGGCATTGTACTCCTGGAGCCAGTCTGCACAGCTTGAGAGGCAACGAGGTTTGATCTCGTCCAACGGGTCCTCCAACAAGTTCACAGAAGTGAACATGCGCGAACATGTCCAAGAGACTACAGCAATGGCTTGCAGCTTGCGGTCCTTGTGCTCCTCCCCAGGCTTCAAGTGAGGCGCGTGATACTTGGGAAAGTGCAAGAAGAACTGCGGACTGTAGGAGAAGCTCATTGCGCAGCGAGCTCAGCTACTTCAGCTACCGGGGCGCAGCTACTCGAGCGCGGCCTGTTCGCAGCGAGTCGTACCAGCTGTCTGGAGAGCCAAAGAAGCACAACGATCTGCAGCACTTCGAGACACCCTGAATGATGCGTGCTTCCGGGCTAACCCCTGTAAACACAGATGCCTGGAACATGTCTGGAGGCTTGCAACGACTTCAGGCTTCTGAGCATCCGGCATCCACGAGGTAAAGCGGGCACAAGGCACTGGATCCAATTGGCAGCCTTGAGAAAAACAAGACCCTCCGTGGCACTTTTCCATCGGAATCACAACAGAATCAACAGACTTCTCCCGCACCGAGTCTTGCGCCTGGACGGAACAGAGTCGATTCTCGCTGCAAACGCCTGCGTTCTCGCTGCAACAGCCACACTTCTGCACTGAAGTCAGCACGCGGCACACAACTTTTGATCCTCAGTCCTGCTCTTGGAGCCTTATCCTTGTTCTTTCGATCGAGACTCGAGATCACTGTTTCTGGCATCGCGCCAAGCGTGCTTCACGGGCTAAGGCTATGCTGTGCCGCTTGCTGCGATTGGTCGGGAGATGGACTCATCAAGCTGCCCCTTGCTCCCTAATTATCGGCCATAGGCGTGTCTTTCACGCACAGTCATTATGTGTGCGTCTGTTGAGACCTGTCTGAGGTTGTCACACAAGTCACGCTACTCTCAATGGACCCTGCCTTGCGCACAAAGACCTGAGAAATATGCCCAAGCTAGTAGAGCATCGCTGCGGCAATGAGCCACTGCTGCAAAGCCGGGCTGAGGCATGCTGAGGCACAGACTGAGATTTGCACTGCAGGAACGTGCAGCTGTGGGTCAATTGCCTGACGCGGATGAACTGAAACCTGGCGTCGCGTAACCCAAGTTCCCAACCTGCACCAGAAGGGTAGACTCGCCCAGTTCTGACCCCGTCTCAAGCTCGACCTCAAGATGCAGGATGATCCGGAAGGTCAGCATCAAAAGCATCGCTGCTTGACTCCACTGACTAACATTCAGCAACGCACCCTGGCCCCGACCTACCACCAAACGTTCGGGAAAACGGATGAATACGATTTCTCATGGGCTGCCAGGCATGCCCACAGTGTCAGCATGCATCAGCGAAAAAAGTTGGGCACTATGAAGCCACCTGTACCAACGCTCACATGGCCTGCCACAAGTGACAAAGAGAGCCTGGACTGATCGAGAGAGAAACCGCCATGATCAGAAAACAACACAGAGACGGACAGAAAGGAAAAGGAGGAAGAGAGACTGTATGATGTGTCACTTCACAGCCCGGCATCACCAGTGTCTCGTTGATCAATCTATTGTGCCAAATGGTGTCTTCTTGGGGCAGTGGCAACGCTTCGTACGTGAAACGCTTTGTATGTGAAACTGAGAATCGACAATCAAGTGCTATCCATCACCAGAACGTCGACGTGAAAGACTGAAGCACCACAGCGTATCGATGCCCGGTTCCAGACCAATATGCTTCTTATTCTGAGATACGAGTAGTACTTGTAGTACCTCAGCTCGCCTGATCCCTTGAACATGTTCCTCAGGGGGCGCCCCTATTCGACCCCTGTGGAGGCCAGCACTTGAGCTAGCCTGCGCTTAGCCAGGCTCAGCGAGCACCAGGTCCAAAAGAAGCACCAACGCAGAGAATGCTGGCATTCTCAAGGACGGAACAACAAGGAGCCCCCGAGATTAAGGAATCGGACTGTCGGCTTTGCGCTCTTCTCGAGGCCGTGGCGACGTCTCCCGTTTCCAGCAACTGGATGGTCCGCCCGACGGCGACATCCACCTGAATTAATCCAAGACCTCGTTTCTAGCCCTTTCTGCCTTTCAAGATTCTTTCGGCCTGGAGATGGGACCGCGGGAGGTTGAATGCCAAAGGAAGCCGTGCATGTGAAGGCACCTGATGAGACACACGATACCCACACTCTTCAAAGGGAGCACCGCACCAGCAGGGAAGAAGCATCCACGGCAGCAGCACACACACCTGCCACAGTGCTGCTCAACCGATGAGGTTCAGGGCGAACTCTGAACGCAGAGCAGTCAATCTACGAGTTCTCGCAAGAGGCTTCGGAGATCGATGTGCCCTCAAAGTGGTTGGCAGAGTATACCAACCTCTAGTGGGCCTGTACTTGTTAAGCTCTCGCAGGGCAGCCTGTGATGGGAGTCAGCAGCTGCAACGGCTGCACCACAGGAAAGAGGCGCTTCGCCTTGGAATCGAGCACATGCTTCATTCTGCAAGAGGGCCTTGCACTTTTCCTTAACACTATTGCGGAAAGCTCAGTGAAGCGACTTGCAGGTGCAGCTGCTCGTATCCTGAACCCAGAGGGCAGTCAATCTGGACCGCCACCTGCACCTGAGCTGCTACAGTGCTACAGCCGAATCTTGGAATGATGTGAAGAGGTTTGAAAGGATGCCTCCTCTCCGGCCGCAGTAGCAGAAGCTGGCGCCATGCGAACGTCAACGGCCAGTGCCTCATGCTGAAGGACGCAGGGAAATGCTCGGAGAGGGAGGTGAGGGCTCACTGGGCAGTTGAGCCCCCTTACACTCTTAGGCCCTTGCCCCAAGGCCGACCGGCTCCAGCACCACGGAGCTGTCCGAGCTCCAGCGGAAGCGGCAGCGAACTCCGAATGCGGCCCCAGCGCCGGCGGCGTCCGAGGCGAGGCCCAGGCCTTCGTCCACGGCCACGCGCTGTGCCACCACAGCGGCAGCCTGTCTGCGACACTCTGCGAAGTCCGCAAAAGCGAGGCTTGTCGTGCAGACTTCGGCCTCCACGGCCTCCACCACAGGATTGCCCATGTCAAGTGCCGCCTTGTACACTTTCCGGCTGCTCTCAGCGCTGAAGGAGGGAGATGCCTGCGGGCGCGAAACCCGCTTTCTGGCAGACTCAGACCCCGTCGTTTGTCTGCTTGCCTGAGCGCTGGCCATCCCAAGCAACAGCGGCGTCAACTCCAGCTCTCCTGGCAGAAAGCGCGCAGCGCAACCCCAGAAAACGTCCGAGTCTGATCGCAGTCGCCGCAGTCCTGACCATAATCGGGCCCGAAGCCTTAACGGCTCGGGGCCGCCCCACCGCAAGACCATTCCCTTGTCGGATCCCGCGTCAGCCTGTCCTGGCGAAACCGGCACTGGACACTCATTGATGCGCTGGCGCTGCCGGGCATCTCCTGCTAAGGTATCCAGAGCACCAATCGAAGCATTCCACGGAATGCCCACGGTCACATGCGCTCCTCGAACACATCAAGTTCAAGATACTAATGCGCACATACACACACAGAGACAGACAGAGACAAAGGTCAGTGGGTCTGTCCAACGCAGTGCCGATGCACTATTATTTATGAATGGACTGTGCGCAGAAAGGCAAGGATTTATCATTATTTGTTACCCATGCCAAGGTGCTTTCGCCTAAGAATGCCCAAGACCTTAAGGAGGTGAAGATGTTTTCCATGCCACGCCCGCGAAATTGCTGAAGGGCTTGAACGAACATGGTGGATCGTGTGTGGGCATGGGCTGCGGAAGTATTCTGTGTAGGCGATTGCATGATGCAATGGCTAATCACGAATATTTCCGCGGAAAATTCGTTTGACTGGTCGAATGTCGTTCCACAACACTACGAAGAATCACGGGAAAGGTCTGTATGCACATACTGCCTACAAGCATACCGTCTGTACAAGCGCACGAACCCTGAGCAAAAAGACATGTCAAGAAGCTCTGCGTGGGCTTAGCGGAGCTGCGCTGTGCTGCGCTATGCCGCTATGCTGCACTTGCTTGCACTTTACTGGTCAACTGGTCCTGCCCGTGCAATCTCGCGGCGCGTCTCTCGCTCCAAAAGCTGCACCGAGAGATCCGCCGAGCCGGGGCTCAGAGCGATCACCAGGCCGACGCCTTCGTCGATGCCTCGCTGAACGACTCTGACCAAACATCTTCCACCCAGAAAACGCATCCCGCAGCATCCCGAGGAGTTTTACCACTGTACCGTGAGCTGGGGAATCAGCGGAATTTGGCCGCCAGGACGCAAAATGATCATTCTGATGCAGGTGGTCGGGTGCCGGTAGCGGCGCCGTGCTACGAGGGCCAAGAGTGCCAGCCCAAACAGAGACAGATGGACACATCAACACCACCTCCCAACGTGAGCCGGTATTGCTGTAGTCAACTTTGAAGATACAACGTCACCTGCCGGTGCACTGGGGTCGAGACTGGCAATGTCCGGTGCGCTGGAGGTGAAGTGGAAAAAGGTCCGGTCATCGCTCCGAGGAGGGCCTCCAGTGAAGGCGAGCTCGAAAGCCTGCCCTGGCATCACGACAATGTTTTTCAAGACGACATCGAACCTGAGTGGAACAACAGCTTTGGACTCCAGCAGCACCGACGTCCACTCTTTGAGTGCAGTGCTCTGGGAGGCAGTGCACGTGCAACACTCGTGAGTAGATGGTGCCACTCGGATAATCCTTCCAAAGACAGCGCTTTCAGGTCTCGTGTGGGAAGTGATGGGCGGTCCGCCGGTCCTGCATCTCGGCTGAGAGGCGATAGATGCCAGGAGTGTGGCAGATGCACCTCAGCAAGGGACAGGAGCCTTCTGCCTTCATTCAGGATCTCTTTCGTTGGCTCTTGCCTTTCTGCCTTGGCATTTCGAGCTCTTCTGCACAGGGTGAAGACCGACCACGGAAACACATGGATCTCACAATGCGGTCACCCTTCAAATCGAATGGCCTTGTACTTCCAATGTATGACCCGGATGTTTGTCTGGTCGGGCTGAAGCACAAGCTGGCACGATTTCTTTGTCAAGCCAGAAAAGCCGCGGTTCCTTCAGCTGCAAAAGCCAATTGCATCGAAGCACTCGTATTGTCCACATCTCGTGGCCACGGTGCTCTCCCGGACTTCGAAGGCTCCTCGTGCCAGGGCTGAGGCTGAGGCTTTGGGCGATCCGTTTGTGCCATAATGTGCCATATTGCCTCTGCCCTCTGGGGCCTTAGAGTCTAAGGCCTTCTCATCTGCTGGTGCATGCAGATGCAGTGTCGGCTGAACTGGAGAATTCAGTGGTTGAAGTTCGTTTCCTCTGTTCGCTGCGTGACTCGAGTAAGCTTTGCCATCCATGTCCGAGAAACATTGAACAAAGTCTTGGCAAAACTTCATTCTCCCGCAGTCTCCGAACTCTCGGTCCTGGGTCACTGCTCCTCAGTTTCAGGTCCAGCGCGGCCCAATTCACCATTCCGAGAGCCTCTACAAGGGGAAACCTCCGAGCAGTGCACTTCTCCCGACCCATGATCTGGCCTCTCCCTCCGCATCTCGGATGTCCACTCGCAGCTGCCGGAGCACCCCACGCACGACCAGGACTGTGGTTCCGTCAGATGCATCCTGCAAGCCGCGACGTGTCACGACTCACGACGCATGTTCAAGAGACTCGAGTCAACAACTTGAAGAATAAAGACACTGAACCCGTACATCCGACACCTGTCAGCAGCAAACAAACCGCCGACCACAGAGTATCACAGAGTCCGGCACCTTAAGTTATCTTACGATATCTGTGGGAGCTTTCTTGTATCTCGCTTTCGGCTCAAACTTTGAGCTCTGCAGCTGGGCCTCCCCTAGGAGTCCCACATCGAGCTGCTTGGCTGCGCGAATCGCCATCTCCAAGCGCTGGGGCCGCGCACCCAAGAGATCGGGGTCCCAGAGGCGCAGGGAAGCTGTACCTACGTAGCGGAACCGCGGACAGATGAGATTCACTGCGCAAGAGTTCACGAGCCGAAGGCCTTGTGCGACCGGCTTGAGAAACCATCGTTGGACAGCAGCTTTGGTGACGTTGCAGGGCGAGCCGATCCAGAGTGCCTGTAATCACTATCCAGGCGTCACATTCAAACTCCTCAGAAGTCGTTGTCTGCCCGGGATCCCAGCCGGAACACACGGCTGCCCATCGGGCACATCACCACAGATTTGCCGCGCTTCGACGACCTCTCTCGATGGTTCTCGTTCCGCAGCTGCTCGCATGCGCCTGGAACTCGCCTCCAAGATCTCCTGTCCCGGGGACACTTCGAGGCGAGCCCGTCCAGTGCCGAAGCCAGCTTCCAGAACGATGGTCCTGAACGTCGCCAAAGCAGAAGGGCTGAGGACGTGAGGGGGCGGCTGGGGCGGCTGGGGGCCGGGCAGGTTCTTGAAGATCGCGAAGCGCGGCTTCTCTGGATGGCCGGGCCATCGAAGTTCCTGAGGACGCAGCAGGCAGGGTAGCGGATGTAGCGGTAGCGGTCGTACTTGTAGTAGAAGCGTTTGAGGATCTCGTTCTTTCGATGCATCCATGTCTCCAGCTTCCGGGCTACCGCCAGGCCAAGGTCGTCGCCGCTGGGCAGCGGCAACGCGGCAAGCGTGGCCGCCGACGCACAAAGGCTCGATGGAGGCAGCGACACCTGAGGCCCTAATGCGCTGAAGATGGATTGTCTGCGGGGGGGTCTAGAGTCTAGAGTTCGACACTGCGTTCCTCAAGAGCTTCCCGTTCCGGCACTCTGGCCTCCAGCTTCAATCGTGCCGTCGCGCCCACCGTGGCATCGCGTGGCACAGCGAGGGAGGCCAAGGAGAGCTCCTGTCACTGCGTTGTGTTTGCGATACCTCAATCAAGGCGTCATCCAACAGCCCAATCCGCGCACGCATCGTCCATAGTCTCGACGCTGCTACAAGTAACAAGGGTTTTCGGCTTCAATCTCACGAGTTTGCGGGTTTCGGGTCCTTCAGTTCTCGCGATAAATTCGACAAGTTCTGCTCTGCTAGCCACCACAAGCGCATCTTTTTGTGACTTTTCGGGATACTGCCCCCAGAGCCGGCTGGTTCGCAACGGAATCTGTTCCAGTCCCCCAGTAACTGGTTGGTCCTCGGATCTGCCTTTGCATGGTGTAGTGGGTGTGACTTCAGAAGCAGAATGTTCTGCCGCAAGACTTGTCACGACTACACACACATGCATTTCCGTTAACTTGCTTGATAGCTGTCGAACTGGGGCTGAAACTCCCGTAAACGGGTGCAGCCAAGCGAGTCTGTCGCCCTCAATCTCTCAAACCGCGGCGGACAGGCTTTCGGAAGTGTCGAACTTTTTTTCTCAGCTGCTGCCCAAGGCTGAAGACCCAGCATGACGCTGTGACAGGAGAGTCTCGGAGTCTTCCCTCGACTCGTCCTCAGATCCCATCCACCGGCGCGGGGCAGTGCAAGCTGCTCGCTAGCCGCGCACCGCTCTCGCAGTGTTATGTGCTACGTCTCTGTCGGCTGAGGGGCGGTGGCCTGCTACGGTATATTCAATCAAACACATGTCATTCTAGGAAAAAGGTGCCGGTGACCAGCTTTAGCCCATGGGCCCTGTCAGTCTGTCAGTTGCGCATGCATGAGCGACGGCCACACCAGCATTTTCCACATCGTGGACGGGACCGCCGACGGAACTGGGGATCCCTTGATCGAAAGATTATTCCCGCCGCGCCGTGGGATCGCCATGGCTTCGGCAGGAGCGTCTGAAGCCCGCGTCGCGTTGGGCGGTGGTCCTGTCGCTGCACTGGTTCACCTTTGCTCGGGGGCCGCAGGGAGGTCTGGGGCGGATTGGGAAGCACAGTGGTTTGCTTTGGATTGCGTAAAAATCCGTACAAGTCCTGGGTCTCGAGCAGCAGGCGCATAACTGGTTTTTGGTCCAGGCAAGCCCGAATGCATCGAACCGGGGGAACTAGGATCGCGCACACATGCTTTGCCCCGTGCATCCCGGTGCTTACAGCCGGAGTTTTGATACAGATTCCATTCAAAGCAGGTTCGCGGAAGATACAGGTCACTAATTCCTTGTCACGAATTTCTTGCGGATGCCAGCACTTTCGTGTCCTGAATTGTCCTGAATTGTAAAGATGAGTCGGTAATCGGGTGGGCTGAGCGGACGTTCTTACAGGTCGGGCATGGATGCGCTTTATTACGGTTCGAGCATGGATGTGAGTGGGGGTTATTACGGTTCGAGCATGGATGCGCTCGTTATCAGACCGGCGTGGACAGTATTACTGTTCGGACATGGATGCGCTGGTAATCGAATGGGGTCTGGGTGCATGTTATTACGGTTCGGGCAGGGATGCGCCGGGTAATCGGATTGGCAGGGACGCTGGTCAACGGATGGGATCTGGGTAAACGTTATTACATTTCCGGCATGGAATCGGATGGCGTCTGAGTACGGTCATCGGTTCGGAAACGCACGCATGCATGGGGCAATCATGGGCAATTAGTGCGCGCTCAACCAACTACGATGTTCGGCGACGGTCCGCTTCAAAGGAATGGAACAAGCCTGAACAAGCTTTCAAATTTAACATTGGAATTGAGGCTTGCCGCTGCCGGTCGTAGAGTTGATGCAAGCTCGTAATGCTTGGTGGATCTTCTTGTACAGGTCCAGGGACTTCTATGGCATGTGATGGCACACTGTCGGGCCCTCCCCGACCACGGGCGGAGGACATCGGGCGTCGCGATTTTAAGATATCACTTCAATTAAATTGCGACTTGCCACACACATATTGTCATCAGCAATCCACGGGCATTTTGCCCCCGAAGATCTTCCGGGTCTTGCAGCCGAAGGCCAAGGCAACATCCCTACTAGAGCACAGGCCATTTATCGTGACCACGTACGGACTGGCCCTCCCATCAAGCCAACAGCACTCCATTGACAATGCGTTTTGGACAGGGCTCCTTGCCGGTGGATAGCCATGCCTGCACAAAGCTGTCTGTCGTCTGAGGCGGTCATGGCGTCTCCCTTCGAGCCTTCTGAAATGGAACTCCGTCCCTGCTTCCGGTGGGCACCAGTGACCAACGGAGCCAGTACTCGGACGCGTTCAGGATAGTCCTGGCCGCTCATTGCACGGACAAGCCTCCCAGTCCCTGGCCTCTGGCTTCCCCGTCCTTCCGAAAGCATCAATAAACTTCGCTCTGAAAGCCGTCTCCCTTCCGCGCCTTTGCAGAGACCAATCGGCTGTTCGCATGCTACGGCATCTATGACGCTGTCCAGTTGGGCCCCGAGCTGCACTCCAAGCGCTTCTCCTCGGTCCTGTACTGGACAAAGAAAGCTGAAGTCAGCAGTGGTGAGATCCTGGAGGCCTTGTCTACGTCCGGAAGATCGTCTGGGTGTAGCTCGGCTACAGCCTCCAAACACGTGCATTCAACGATGCTCTCTCCGCTTGCTGGCTGCTCGCTGTACACCTGCACCCTCGCTGGCACCGAGCAGCGCAGCCACAAGGCCAATCGGTCCACCTGAGAGCCCACAATCTTTACAGTCAGGCAGCTGTTGGGCCTTTGGATCCCATTTGGACACATGCATGCTGTAATTGTTCATGTCTGGCACAGACTATGTGCAAGACTCAAAAGGAGTGCCACACCGACGACCTCTGTAGTCAACACTTTCGGAATTTGTTAATACTAGACATCTGTCCAGGCTGAAATGTCTACAGAGTCTGTCGGAGCCTCCAATAACATCCCGTTCAAGTCAGGAAACTGCTGGCCTTGACTGCAAGTCTGAGCTCGCTCTCGGAGGATAAAGGGCAGTGACATCCAGAGTGGGTGCGTGTTCAGTAGAACGTATGGAGAAGCTTTTTCTCGCTTGGTCCAGCAACCCGTGCTCACAGTGTTTCGTCGTTCTAAGATACGCGAATTGCTCGACCGAAAACCTTCCTTTTCCTGGAGTGCAATGCCACTTCCCCGTTGCAAGGCCGTGGTTTTGGTCCAGCCGCAAACGTTTGCCCATGTGCTGGATCCACGGGGGTGTGCCTGGCGCACAGCGGACCTTGCGCCTCCGCCTATACCGAGCGAGCAAACAGGCCAGGCGCACGAGACTTCACCAACAAGCCGCACAGGCCCTGGGACCGGACAGAGGCGAAGTATGAAAAGCTCCATAAGTCTTTTTGTTCTGCGTTCTAGCTAGCCCGCTAACCCTGCAGATGCTGAACCCTGCGTCTCTGCCGGCTCCAAAGATACCAAAGTGCCACGGGCAAGAGTGCACGCGGCTTGGTCACACCAATGTCCTTAGACCCCCTGCCCCACATGCTAACATGTGCATGCTCCCCCGCGCCTGGAGTAACCTGTAAACACGCCACCTCAAAGCAGCGATGGCTCAGGCGCTGCCTCGGCAAAAGGATCGGCAAAGCTTTTCGGCCAACGTTCCGTCCGCAAGATGTGCTCCGTTAGAGCAAGTGTAGTTGGTAGGGTCGGTGGCTGCTCCTCCTCCTCCTCCTGCTACGACTACTACGACTACTACGACTACTACGACTACTACGACTACTACTACTACTACTACTACGACTACTACGACTACTACGACTACTACGACTACTACGACTACTACGACTACTACTACTACTACTACGACTACTACTACTACTACTACTACTACTACTACTACTACTACTACTACTACTACTACTACTGCTACACGTGTACTGGCACTAGTACTAGTACTAGTAGTAGCGGGAGTGGTAGGGAAAGTGATCGCGATCGTGATGATACTGAATATACTGGAAGCCACAGGAACAGCTGTGGTAGTGCAACGGCACCAGCAATACAACTTGCAACAATAGTATTAAGGGGAGTACAGGTACGAGTGAAGGTCTCGTGACCGTGATACTGCAACAAGACAATGAAAGCGCCTAGTAGTAGCCATAGCACTGCTTGTAGTGCTCGGAACAGTAGCAAGAGAAGTAATGATAGCAGTCAGGGAACTAGTGACCAGTGATAGCAAATGATCGCAATCGGCATCGGTATAGTGATAGTAATACTAACTGTCATAGTCATAGTAACAGGAATAGTCAGGCCAATGGTTGTTGGCAATGGTCATAGTACTGGTGGCAGTAGTAATAACAACAATCGCGATCGGCGTAGCACATCAGTAGTACTAGCAATAATAATACTAATCAGCAAAACATGAAATTCGTTACCGCAGAAGCAAGCCCTCCCATTCGCTGCGCCGAGAGTGTAAGGATTCGGGCTTAGCTTCCGGCACACTTATGTGGGCTCCAGCTGTCAAATTCCACGTCTCCCGTCCTGCGGAGCATACAACTTTTGCACCTCCTGAGATCAGGGGCCGGTCCTTGAACCGTTAGACCAAGCGGACCATCGACGATGCAGAGTCTGACGGAGGAACAGGGTGCGACGACCTTGCGGGGTGTTGCAAAAAAAACCGTCGGAGATGCAAAACGCATTTATGCTTTCGACTACTTGTTTTCCACGTTCATACTCACACGCAAGACTATTGCACAAACCTTCCCAGCTTGAGCCCCTGGCCAAGGCTGCCGTTTGATTGGTCTGAGCCGCCGCAAGTACCTGACAGAGCTCCATGCCGAAAGTCATCGATAGTATGCATCCTCTTGTGGAGCACGTCGGCGGGGCTCGGAACTCCAAGCAATTGCCACTTCAAGGGCTTGTAGACCTGACTTGTCAGCAGCTTCCTCGCCCTTCCAGTGCCCTTGCCTGTTGTCTGGACGGGTCCCAAGAAAGTTAAACTAACGTAAGAGCACAGAGCATCCGCCGTGTCTTCTTCCTCCCCTGGGCACGTCCAAGTCCCAACCTCGAAGGGTAGCGATGCTGATGGAAGCGCTGGCGCATCAACCTGAACATCTGCAAACTTTCACGACCAGCAATTACGGAACAGTGCCGAGTTGCCGAAAGGATGATAGATGAACAAACACAATCGGAAATCCCGCCTCCTGTGCTTTCGCGATGAGCTGAAATCGTCCTGCTGCGAGAGGCCTGATTCTGATTCCACCCACAAAAGAATTAGTGCAATGCTGGTCAGAATAAAAACTTGCGGACACGCTTTGCCTCACGTGAAGGGCGGCACATGTGGCAAACTCACCTGTTGCGACTGGAATGTTGCCACATGTTGCCACTAGCATGCTCGGGTGTGGTCTTTGTATAGCGAGCTCCTTGTCGTCGAAAGCTCTGGGCTCCAACCTCTCTGCCATAATGGGGGCCAAACATTCCAAAACTTATCCCGTTGTGATGGCGAGGATGCCCAGGGCCAGATGGACAAGGAGATCCCTACCAGATCTCTTGATGACGTGGCCAGATGGCAGCACAAGACGTGTTGTACAAAGCCATCACTTCTTGTTTCACAATTGTGGCAGAAATGGCCTGAAGAGGCCGCAAGCACGGAGGCAACCTGGTACCGGCCGGCATTGTTGACCGCGCTATGCAAGGTGGCCGTTGAGCAGGGAGCGGTGTTGTTGGAGACTTCGGGCACCAGCTGGTCCGACGGGAAGAGCACCGTGCCTCACATCTGCAGCACGCACCTGCATGGTGCAGATTGACAATGGCGCAGCCGAGATGGC